GGATGAGAATTACCCATTGAGTACCACCTTACTTATTTAGGACTGGATGAGACAAGGCTTGGTGACAAGGCCTGTCCATACAAGGCCCTGAATATCTAGTTGTCCAATACAGACATTACCCTATGGTGCTGGGGAGGTGCGGAAGGTATTTGAGCAGGAATCTCCCATCTTCACTTGTTCTTCTCCTCTAGTACCTCATTCAATGCTCGAAAATCCCATCGCTCCCCGCAGTGTCCTTCCTCCTTGGGGGGGTTTGGTTTAACCTCACGGCCCAGGACTACGTCATTCAGGTGTGTGACTCATTGACGTCAGCGTAACACAATATAACCCGACCTGAGGGGCGGAGCTGGTAGTGAGACCACCAGGGCGGGGTAGGAGCCCCCACATTAGCTCCCGGGGAAAAGGCAGGTACAGTGGCGTGTTGTGACACCCAGTGGTCCTGTCTTGTCGCTTTGCAGATTGCTCAGGGTGGCATCCGCCTGTGTATGTCCGGCTTCCAGGGCTTGGACATGCCTCCGCCTGCAGGACCCCTGTGGATCCTCGGCGACGTCTTCTTGGGGACCTACGTGTCTGTCTTCGACCGCGGGCACGTGAATGGCAGCGCCCGGGTGGGCCTGGCGCGCGCTCGTTCCCGCGAAACTGGCGGCAAGGGGATGAACCCGCGCAGGCGCGGTTCTGCGGCTGACGCCCTTGCTAGGCGCATGCGCGCCGACCAGTAGCGGAGGTCCCGCATCCTTGTAAAAATCTAGCATTTCCTTTTAAACAACCTACCTGGATCGCTTCTTACTAAGCACACACGTTTTAGAGGGAAAAATTAATGTCGGACCTACGGAATCGAGGAGGGGAAGGGTTTCACGACTATTCTGCTGGGTTTACACTAGCGAGGGGAGTCTTACACTACAAATACCACGAATCCCTAACCTTTTCTCTGCCTCCAGTCGAAGGCTCCCGGCCTCGCGAAGCATCGTGGATGTTGTAGTCCACGCCATGTTACATTTTTAGCAGAGGCTGGCGCAGCCACAACATGCGTGGGAGGCGACAGGTCGCGACAAAAGCTACAGGTGTCAGGTGTGTGTGTGTGTGTGTGTGTGTGTGTAGAGGTGGTGGCTGAAATCGATAAAGGGTTTCCTAACCCTTGTTCTAAGGATGGGGGATACCATATGTTCCTGTGGGCCTCATCTTTTGTTCATTTTCTCTGTCCTTGGGATTCCGGGGACCCCTGGGTCCGCCATAAAGGCGGAGCTTGCTGCCCCGAGTTGGGGGGAAGCGGTGCTGCCCCTCCTCCGGTGGTGATGTCACTACCCTTTCAGCAGCTTCTTTCTGCTCAGAGCTGCTGGGGCTGGGTCACCCTCCCCCGTCGCCAGCCCCGGATTCCCCCATCCCCGCCTTGCCTCGACTTGGGGTGAGTACGGGGGAGGGGGCGGAGGCTCAGGTCCGGGGGGGGGGGCAGTAAGACAGCCCAAGTACCAGTTTGGGAGGTAGGGGACTTGGAAGGCAGGGAACCCAAGATTACATCGGAGGGATCCCCTTTGATTCTGAGCTTTGGGGCCAAGGTACTTGAAGGGTCTCAGGCAAGGAGTCCTGTATTTTCAGCATTAGTGGGACTCCCCTTTCCTGGATTTGGAAGTGATGGGAATGCAGGTGAGGGCATAAGAAAGGAGCCCTAGAAGTCAGGGAGAAGATGACCCATCCTCAATTTTTGGGTCCTTCGGTGAATGGGGGAGGGAGTGTCCAGGATAAGGAGTGGGAGTTTGGAGCTTTCAGAAATTCTGTGTTTAGTGTCAGGGAAAGGATGCTCTGTAGAGGAGCTGGGGTGTGAAAAGGTCTGAAGAAGTGGACAGATAGCCTCTCTCCTCCTGGGTCCATGGCCAAACGTGGAATTCGTTTTCCTGTGGTCTGTAAGCACAGCTGGGTGTCCTGAGCCCCATCTTGTCTCCTGAAGGCCCCTTCTCTCTGATGGATGGGTGAGAATCCAGGCTCACAAAACCTTCACATACCCCGATGAGGTATGGAGAGGGCAATAAAGGAATGAATGATAGCATCCAAATTTCCCATGACTGAGGGAGTCCGATCCATCCTGTTACTCCTGGCTGCTGCCCCCATCCCCAGCTTCTAATCCCAAATCTTATTCCATATTCTCCCCTTTTCCAGCTCCTTCTCACCAACAACACCCACCTTCTCCCACACTTCTGACCTCTGGTGGCGAGGACCAAAAACCGCTGATTTAGTAACTTGATCCTGGGGCCTGGCTGCTGTCAAAAGCAGAAAGTAGGGGTGGAGGTGGGGAATAAAGGATGGCTGACTTAGGTTCTCACCCCAGTCCCAACTCCCTGCCCCTAGTGCCTACCCAGCCCCTTCTCCAGCCTCCATCCCCATCTCTAACTGGAGCCTCATTCAATCACTACAGATTCACTGCTTTTGCCTAGGACCACATCAGAATTCAGGGTAGAGAGAGGTAGGAAGTGCTGATGTATTTTCTCTGCCTAGGTGGGTCCCATCAGAGACCCAAGGGCTGTCCAAGGATTGTGGATACTGGATTGGAGGCTATGGGAGAGCCCAGGGTCTGGGGAGGGAGATGACTACCTCCTTGTCTGCAGGACAAACCCCACTCTGAAACTATCTGCAGTGACGCAGCAAGAACCCTGGCCAGGATGGGGGTTAGAGTGTATGGAGGAGAGCCTTTAGAGAAAGAATAAGAGACCTAGAGAGAGGGGAGCCCCAGGAAGAGACAGACTCAGGAGTGGGTAAGACATGGGAGAGAGACCCAAAGAGGACTCAGAGAGAAAGTAGGATTAGAGTGAGTCAACAGAGCAGACGACAAAGGGCAGAGATGAGCAGGTGAAGGGGGCACACCAGGGGGCTGCCAGCATCCTCTAGCTACCCGGTGCCTGGCCTGATGCCACCCTCTGCAGGTGCAGCAGCTGGCTGGCACCAATCATAAATAGGGAGAGGGAAAGGAAAGGAGAGGGAGTTCATCAGAAAATAAGAGGGGGGCCCAGAGGTCCAGAAAAGGCAGAAACAGGTGAGGTGGGGTGGGGGACTGAGACACAGAAGAGGATAGAGATCATGAGGTGACAGAGACTCAAAGAGGGACAAAAGACCCAATGGGAGGACGAGAGACCTAGAGAGGCACTCCCTGAGTAAAAAGTAGAGACCAAAAGAATGAGAATGGGGATGGGATTCTAAACCATGGCCAGGCAAGGGAAGTCAACTCTAGAGAGAAGAGGAGCAAAGCCTCAAAAGGAAAGGAACAAATTCAGAGACCCAGAGGAAGGGCAGAGAAAAGAGGGGCCAGAGACACAGAAACGGGAGCAGGATGGGGTGGAGAGGCGACACCAACCAACCGCTGCACAGGCAGAGGGAGGCAGCGGGCAAGACAGCGCGCAGCCAGAGGATGCCCGCAGCCCTCTGACCCGCCCACTTCGCTCCCACAGGCACCTCCTCGCTCAGAAACCCAGCCGCAGTCGTTGGCTCCGCCCCAGCCCCTGCGTCTGCGCACTGCCTCCTAGAGCCCAGGTCCACTCTGGGGGCGGGGCCTGACGCTTCAAGGCGGTCCTCCTTGTTCTGGCCCCGCCCCTAACTCTCCATTCGACCCCTGCCCCCACTCCAGACCTCTCTGACACCTAACCCGGCATCATTTTGCATTGGTCTCATCTATTGCCCCAGTTTAGACGCTTTGGCTTCTCCCCCTCCCCTCTCTTCTGTGTGCATTCGGCTCACTCCAGTTCTTATCCTTCTCTTCATCCTCCAATCTGCAGTCCACTGTGGTCTAATTATCATCTCTTTTCCTTCACCAATTGACGTTCTCACCCTGCCCCTTAAATCGTCAGTGATCCTTAGTCATTGAGGATCTTTAGCTCCAAGGACTCCAAGACTCTTCTTCTTCCAGGTCCCTCCGCTCTGTCCAGCACAGTAGCCTTTCACTCTGCAAGTCTCACTCTTCCTCTATTCCCCCGCCCCTCGTCCCTTTCCTCCACCATCTCACCCATGCCCTTTCAAGCTCCTTAAAGTCCCGCTCCTCCCTTAGTCTCACCTTCCTGTAGCCGGTTCAAGGGGTTGTCTACCATTCGTAGACCTCACCTACTTTTCTCGGTCCCGACCTATCCTTCCTTCCTTCATTCATTCTCTAGGCCCAGCACCCTCAGCTTTCTACCTGGGCTCCTCCTCCCTAAGTCCTATTCAGACGCTCTCAGATTTTCAAGCCTCACTTGTTTCAAACCTTCTCACTGGGTCTCAATCTCTCAATCTCTCTTCCCTTCTCCTTGTCCCTTTTCACTCAAGCCAGTCCCATTCCGTGAGAAAGTGGTCCATCTCCAGTTCCCTTCCCTAGTTCAGTCCTGCCCGTTCACTGTCCCAGCTAATCAGGACTCTCTTTCTTCTATGCTCTTAAGTCTTGCCCCATCCAACCTATGTTATCCAACACCCGGGTCCTCCCTGCCAAAGCTTTAGGTCCCGGGTAGAGATCTCTTTTTATTTCTCTTCTGACCCTTCTCTCCGGACCTTCTCAGTCCAACCAGATGGGATTCTCAGATTATGACCTCGCCCCTCCAGGCCAGTCTGGTTACCGTTTTTTCGGTTCTATCAGGTATCTTTCTTACATCTTGCCCGGCTGTCTCCGTTTTCACTGTGCTGCTGAGCCAAGAAACGTTTGTTACGGGTCCCGCTTCCTCTGACGCTCCGCCCCTCCGTTTTGCTCCCAAAGATCCAACCGAGGAGCCTCATTTGTGGCTCCGCCTCACCCAGCTAGGCAGTGGTAGAGTATCATCCCCTCTCCTCTCGATCCTAGCCCCACCCAACTCCCTCAGGCCAATCAGTTCGGATCCTCCCCCACTAAGGCTCTGTCCCTCCATTCTATCGACTCCTCCCATCCAATCACGTCGGCCTTTGCCCCTTTCGGGCCCGCCTCCTCCGTCCATCTTCTCCTCCCACCCAATCACGTCTGTGTCTTCCCTGAGCCCCGCCCCTCTTGGCCCTGCCTCTCCCGCCCCGCCCCCCGTCCAATGCTTAGCTCAGTCTGCGTCTCGTCGTTCCGCCGGCGCCAGGGGGCCAGCAAGCAGCAGCCGGCCCAGAGCCGCAGCTGCCCGAGTCCCCGCCGCCGCTGTCTCCGCCGCTGCCACCGCCGCCGCTGCAGCAGCAGCAGCAGCAGCAGCAGCCCGGCCCCGCCGCGTCCTCGGCGGGCCCCTCGGCACCCCGCGGGCCCGGGGGCCGGCGCGCCGAGCCATGCCCCGGGCTGCCGGCGGCGGCCATGGGGCGGCACGGCGGCGGCGGTGGCGACAGCGGCAAGATCGTGATCAACGTGGGCGGCGTGCGCCATGAGACGTACCGTTCGACGCTGCGCACCCTGCCAGGGACGCGGCTAGCCGGCCTGACGGAGCCCGAGGCGGCTGCGCGCTTCGACTACGATCCGGGTGCAGACGAGTTCTTCTTCGACCGACACCCGGGCGTCTTCGCCTATGTGCTCAACTACTACCGCACCGGCAAGCTGCACTGCCCGGCCGACGTGTGCGGGCCGCTCTTCGAAGAGGAGCTGGGCTTCTGGGGCATCGACGAGACCGACGTAGAGGCCTGCTGCTGGATGACGTACCGACAGCATCGCGATGCTGAGGAGGCGCTCGACTCCTTCGAGGCTCCCGACTCCTCGGGTGCCTCCAACGCCGCCAATGCCGCAGGAGCCCACGACGCAGGCCTGGACGACGAGGCGGGCGCGGGCGGTGGCGGCCTGGACGGCGCTGGCGGCGAGCTCAAGCGCCTCTGCTTCCAAGACGCGGGCGGCGGCGCCGGGGGGCCTCCAGGGGGAGCGGGCGGCGCGGGAGGCACTTGGTGGCGCCGCTGGCAGCCGAGAGTGTGGGCACTCTTCGAGGACCCCTACTCATCGCGGGCCGCCAGGGTGAGCGCGCTCTTGGAGCTCCCAAATACCCCAGACCCTTCCTCTATACCTTCAGGGGTGCCCCATCCCAAACTGTTCTGGACTCTCTCTGCTCCCAGATTCTTAGAAGCCTCTTCCCCCAAACCAGAGTCTTCCAAACACACCTCCCTCTCCTGGCCATCTCCTAAGTCCTCAAATGAAGCCTCTCCAACCTTTAGAATCTCCCAGACCTCTCCATGCCCACCCTGCTGCCCCAGGCCACCTTAGATCCTTAGAAACTCCCTTCCTCCTGTGAATCTTCCAGGTTCCTGTGAATCACTCTTGCCTTGCCTTTCTTGGGCCCCTCCAAGACCTTCTGAAGACCTTCCTCAATCCTCAGAGGCTCTCCATTCCCTCTAAACTTTTTGTCACCACCCTTGGTCACACCCCCCCCCACTTCCCTCAGTCCTCAGTTTTTCAGACCAACCCCAGTCCCTCAAGACATTCCTTCCCACCCCTCAAGGTATCAAGACCCTGTTAACACTGTCCCACATTCCTCACCCCCTCCAGAACCTCTGAAGTCTTTTCTTCAACTCTCACTCTTTCAGTTTTCGGAACTCCTCCCCCATTCTCCCTGAGCCTGTATCCCAGAAGACCTCTAGAGCTCCAAGTTTTGGTCTCCTGGTTATTTTGACACTCCCAAACCCCACCTGCACCTCAGAGCTTCCTGGATCTCTGAACCTTCAAAGCGCTTTCCTAGTCGGGACACTTCTACCCTTCACAACAGAGTGGTGGGGCACCCTCCCTCCTGGAACTTCCCTCTGCCCCCTCTGTTCATGTCCCTTCTTGCATCCTGTACACCAACTCCCATCCTAAGGACTTTCCTCTTAGAGCCCCAGACTTTCCTCCACAAGCCTCCTCATGTTTCCAGAAGAGCCACAAGCCCCTATACTATGCCTTTCCTCTCCAGAACCCCGCATGTTCTCCTGAATTGCTCTTTCTCACCACAGATGCCTCCACCTCTCCCTTCCATCCCTTCAACTGCATACCTCACTGCCTCTAAGAACTGCTGCTTCCAAAAGCTCCTAGCTCCTTTCCTGGTCTTCGAAGTGACTTCCCTCCTGCTGCAGAACTTTATCTCAAGTCATAAGCCCAGAAACTTCTCAGAATAGCTTAAATTCTTTCTATCCTGTCTAGGATATTTCTACCTGCTGGGCTTCCCTTCCCCTAGCCTTGTTTTCTGCCCCTTTCTCAAGTTTCCTCACCCCAAAGCCCAGAACTGGGCCCCTCAACTTATTTCCATTCACCAAAGTGACCCAAAGACCCCACACCCTAACCTTTTCTTTCTTCCACCTTTGTCTCCCTCAAAAGTCCATAGTTCCCCCATCGATCTCTCCATCTCTCCCCAAAAAACTTTCTTAAGCATCTGGAACTTCCCAGGCTAAATGGTTCTCCACTTGGTTCTCCTCTGAACCTCTTCCTCCTCCTAACTTCCTCCCGGTCCCAGGGACCCCAGAGAGGGAATGAGTGGAAAGAAAGGGGGCAGTTCAAAATGGGGGGATTGGAAAGAGGGGAAAAGGAGCAATCCCAGTGTCCCCTTCGAGCCTCCTGAGGGGCATAAACACCCAGAGGAGTCAATCCGGCCCCTCCCCCCACGGTGCCACGTCCTGGGCCAGGAAGGACAAGGAGCCGCAGTGCCGCATTCGCGCCGGGGGAGGGAGTAGGGGGAGGGGTGCCCCCGGAGGCACTGCATAAAGTTTGGTCCCTGGGAAGCGCTGAGTTGGCAAGATTTGGGGTTGAGTTGGGGGAAGTGAGAAGTAGAGGTGCAGAAGGGACACGGCCCCAGATGCCCCCGCAGGCTTCCTAGCGGCCCCTCCCCCCATGGCCTGGAGCGCCCTTCCCTCTCGTGACCCCATTGAAAGGTGCTGAGGTGAAGGGGAAGGTGAATGTGAAGTCCTTCCGTAATGGTCAGTTTAGGGGTCCGGGATAGCTACGGAGGTCATTCATTTGGCACACATGTTTTTCTGAGTGTCCGCGGTGTGCCAAGCACTTTCCAGCCTCTTAGTAAGATTGCTTTTAGAGTTGGGAGCGCTGGTCAATGCAAAGTGGAGGGTCCGGTCCTACCTCCCTTCTCCCTTCGTAATCTCTCCTTTCCTTTTACAGGGACTTTGTGTCCTTCTATCCCTTCTGCTTTTGAGCCAGCCCGGAGCAAGGGGTTAAATCAACCCCACGCTGTCCATCCCTGTAGCTGTGTACTGTGGCGGGTGCCCACCTTCCCCTTTGCCCTGGGAGGGAAGGAGTTAACCAAAGGCTTGGCAGGAGGCCTCTCGCCGTAAAGCAGCACTGCGGCTGCGCTGCCTGCTGGGCTCCAGCCTGCTGGGCTCCAGCCTGGAAAGGGTTAAGGAGGCACCCGCCACTGCGGCTGCGCACTGCGGCGGGGGAGCTGTCCATGGTTCTGGCCGCTCTGCGCCCCGCCTCCCGGCCCTGCCGGCCCGCCCCCACTGCAGTGCCGCAGCCTGTGCCACTCACCCAGCACGAAGGGGGGCGGGGAAGCAGTGGGCATGCGCTCTGCAGAGTGCTCTGGCCTCGTAAACCACTGCGGAGAAACAGGGCCAGCATTAACCCCCTGGCCTACCCCAGGGTCTAGAGTCCTCTGTTGCTGGTCACTGTCCTTGCTCTCTAGTGTGCATTTAGGATTAAAAGTCGATCCGCCCCTCCATCTTCTGTGCCTTCACTACCCATCTGATTAAAGGCCCCTCTTCACCTCAGCACCTATTGTCTTCCCTTCCCAATGCATGAACTCTTAACCCCTCCCCTCTACATAGCTGATAAAGCCCACTGCCATTCCTAGAGGTATGACCCCTGGGCTGCCTTCTCCCAAACCTTGACTCTGTCCCCTCTGCAAGGCTTTTGTCAACCCCTCCCCCACCATTATGTAGCAGGACTATGGTTCTCCATCAACTTGAAACAGCCTACCCGCACCTTTGATCCTTGCCCTGTCCTCTCCCCAAATGTCTAGGCCCCTGACTCCTTATCCAGAGCCTTAAGCCACTCCTCTCTCCACTTCTTTATCCTCTTCCTTTTTTGTAGCTTAACCCTTCAACACCTCCTTCAGGGCTCTGATCTCCTACCTCCACTTTTTGGTTGTACCTCTGCCTGTTCCTTTGTGAGGTCCTCTATCTCCCCTTTCTGGGGCCTGGACATTGGCACTGAGATTCTTTTTTTTTTTTTTAGGTTTATTTTTTAGTTGTAGGTGGACACAGTACCTTTATTTCACTTATTTATTTTTATGTGGTGCTGAGGATCAAACCCAGAGTCTCACGTGTGTGAGGCGAGTGCTCTACCGCTGAGCCACAACCTCAGCCGCACAATACCTTTATTTCATTTTTATTTGGTGCTGAGGATCAACCCCAGTGCTTCACGCATGCTGGGTGAGCACTCTACCTCTGAGCCACAACTCCAGTGCGGCACTGAGATTCTTAACCCTGACCTGTCTCTGACTCAGACTTGCCCTCCACTAACTGATGTCCTATATCCCAGTAAAGGTTCAGATCTTCTTATTGTGTTCCCGGCACTGGACCAAAAATGTTTTTTGGAGCCAAGCCCTTTATACACTCCTATAAATTAATCCATACAATAATCCCACATGAATAAAATCTCCTTGTCCAAGTTTGGTAGGTTAAAAGCTGAAATCAAACCCAGGTTTTCTTGGTTTTACTGCCCCATGGTTCTGACTCTCCATTCTTCCCCTTCCCTCAGCTCCAAGCTGAGTCCCAAAGCTTCTAAGACACTGAGGGTGTGTGATCTTAGTCCCCCTCACCCCCATCCTTCAGCACGACACTTGGACCTTTCCAGGGGGCCCTGAGATGGAGTCCAGGGACCAGGAGGGCAGGGGCAGTGGTCTAGGAGACAGAAGGGGCTAGGAACGAGGTTCCAGGGAAGGCTTCCTACTGCGTAGGATGGGGCCAGCTCCTGTCTTGCAGCCTCTGTTTCTACCCTTTCACTGGTTTGGGAGGAGAGAACAGGATGCTAGAAGTGTTGGAGCCACAGGGTTGGGGTACCATGGTTCCCCCAGAGTTTGGGCCCCAGGAAGCTAGGGAAAGGGGCACTGGAAGGGTCTTTCTTCTGGTGGGTCACCGCTTTTCTCTCATCCTGCCTGCAGTATGTGGCCTTTGCCTCACTCTTCTTCATCCTTATCTCCATCACCACCTTCTGCCTGGAGACCCATGAGGGCTTCATCCACATCAGCAACAAGACGGTGACACAGGCCTCCCCAATCCCGGGGGCTCCACCAGAGAACATCACCAATGTGGAGGTGGAGACGGAGCCCTTCCTGACCTACGTGGAGGGGGTGTGCGTGGTGTGGTTCACCTTCGAGTTCCTCATGCGCATCACCTTCTGCCCGGACAAGGTGGAGTTCCTCAAAAGCAGCCTCAACATCATTGACTGTGTAGCCATCCTGCCCTTCTACTTGGAGGTGGGCCTCTCCGGCCTGAGCTCCAAGGCCGCCAAGGATGTACTGGGCTTCCTGCGCGTTGTCCGCTTTGTCCGCATCCTGCGTATCTTCAAGCTGACCCGACATTTTGTGGGGCTGCGTGTGCTGGGCCACACGCTCCGTGCCAGCACCAACGAGTTCCTGCTGCTCATCATCTTCCTGGCTCTGGGGGTGCTCATCTTTGCCACCATGATTTACTACGCAGAGCGCATTGGCGCTGATCCGGATGACATCCTGGGCTCCAACCACACCTACTTTAAGAACATCCCCATTGGTTTCTGGTGGGCCGTGGTCACCATGACCACTCTGGGCTATGGAGACATGTACCCTAAGACATGGTCGGGGATGCTGGTTGGGGCGCTCTGTGCCCTGGCGGGCGTGCTGACCATCGCCATGCCCGTGCCCGTCATTGTCAACAACTTTGGCATGTACTATTCACTGGCTATGGCCAAACAGAAGCTACCCAAGAAGAAGAACAAACATATCCCCCGACCCCCGCAGCCTGGCTCTCCCAACTACTGCAAGCCTGACCCACCCCCACCACCTCCACCCCACCCTCACCATGGAAGTGGTGGCATCAGCCCCCCACCACCCATCACTCCACCTTCCGTGGGTGTGACTGTGGCTGGGGCCTACCCTTCAGGGCCACACACACACCCTGGGCTGCTCAGGGGGGGCGCAGGGGGGCTGGGGATTATGGGGCTGCCTCCTTTGCCGGCCCCTGGGGAGCCCTGCCCGCTGGCTCAGGAGGAGGTGGTTGAAATCAACAGGGCAGGTGAGGCTGGGACCTGGGGGTCGTTGGGAGGAGTGGCTGCTGAGTTTCAGAGAGACCAGGGCGGTGGGCACCAGAGAGGGGAGAGGAAAGGCCAGAGAGGAGGCGCACACTGCAACAGAGACGTGGATCTCGTGAAAAAGAATTATGGGGAGAGATAAGACTATTCCAAGAGGCCAGCAGGGCAGAGGCTGTGGAAATAGGAGTAATTGGCATTTGGTGAGAGGGACCCAGGAGGGGCTAGAGGCTAGAGGGGAGACACAGGGTCTCACAGGAGTCCCAGCAGGACAGAGGCAGGCAGAAGACAGCTGTAGCATCTGAGCTATTCAGAGACTGTCCTGAGGCCCCAAGGCCAGAGGTGACATAGTGGAGTCTGAGGCAGGGGTCAGAATGTCGCTTAAAGAAAGCTGAGGCTTGAGTGAGTAGTGGGGGACAGCTGAGGGGCAGTGGGCAGGAGTCCAGGATCTAGTAACAGTGAGGCTGGAGAGGGAGACAGGTCTGAAAACTAAGAGTCAGAGGCCTCGTGGACAATATGGTCTTAGGACAGAAAGGTGACTTGGACACCAGGACCAGGTGGGCTCTGCAGAGGACAGCATGCGAGGGGACTGGAGAGAGCCCAGACAGATGTCGCTGTGAGGGGAGATGAGGTGAGGGAGAAGAGGGGAGAAGAAAGTTGACTCTGTGTGTGTGTGTGTGTGTGTGTGTGTGTGTGTGTGTGTCCTGTGTCCCAGGGGAGTCCGTGCCTTAGAGGCAGAGATTTGGGTGTCAGGGAGGAGGAAGAGGTGGGCCCCACCCCCCAGGTCTTAAGTAGGCCAAGAAAGGGAGCTGGGCCGCCCAGTCCCCATCTTGCTCCCTCAGCCACTGACCCAGTTTCACACCAATTAAAAATAGCTGGAGTCAGAGCCTAGGGGACCCCCACCTGCCCCTCCCTCATCTATCACCTCCCCAGCCCTTCCCCATGGTGCCCTTTCCAGCTCCCAACACTTGTCCCTAAACAGTCACTTCCTGACCCACTACTTCCTCCACAGCCATCCCCTCCAAGCCCCAGTACCCCACCCAGCGCGGCCCTGCCCTACCAACTCAGGGCTCTGCCTTGGTCCTTCTCAGCACCCAGCCTGCTTCCCACACCACCTCCCAACACCCAGCACCCTATACCTGGCCCAGCTTCTGCCAACACCCTGTCTACCCTGACCATCCGGGTTGCCCTTAATACCTTGTCCCCAACATGCCCTGTTGTCATCTCCCTTCCCAACACCCTCTAGCACCCACAAGCCTCCTCCAGCTCCCCAGCACCTCACTCTCTTGTCTCCTTCTGATTCCCTTGGATGCAGACCCCCGCCCCAATGGGGATCCAGCTGCAGCAGCACTGGCCCACGAGGACTGCCCCGCCATTGACCAGCCTGCCATGTCCCCGGAGGACAAGAGCCCCATCACACCTGGAAGCCGGGGCCGCTACAGCCGCGACCGAGCCTGCTTCCTCCTTACCGACTATGCCCCCTCCCCTGATGGCTCCATTCGAAAAGGTGAGGTGCCCTCCTTGGGCCCCTGGGACCCTCCCTCTCTCCCCTGTCCAGGGGGGAGGGGCGAGCGGTGGGGGTGGAGGCACTGGATTCCCTCCCCCACTCCCTTAGTCCCTAACTGCCTCCCTCCCAGATCTCCTCTCCCTCCCTGCCCTAAATTTCCTCACCACTGACCCTTCGCCTGTCTTTATTCCATCTCCATTTCCCCCCACCCAACCCTGGACCCTCTGGCCTCTTCCCCCACCCCCAGCCACTGGTGCTCCCCCACTGCCCCCCCCAGACTGGCGTAAGCCAGGCCCCCCAAGCTTCTTGCCCGACCTCAACGCCAACGCTGCGGCCTGGATATCCCCCTAGTGGACGAACCCCCTCCCCCCGGGGTAAGTAGCCCCCTTGGTCCCTCCTGACTCCCCCTCCCTCCCGACTAACCCCTCTGAGAACATGCAGCCCCCACTGACCGAGACTCCCACCCCTCACCGTGGACAGCTGCATCCAGCTCCTGACACGGACCCTCACCCACCTACCCCAGGACTTGCCCTGCCCCTCACTAACCCCTGAGAACTAACCCTCACCCTCCCTCCCACACCTGGTGCCTGACCCCCACACCCTGCCCCATGACTGACCCATCACCCCATTCACATCTCCCCCCTGGATTTTTTTATTCAATCAGGAAACCTGGATGCACACCTGGGACACCCAGGTGTAGAATGGCTCAAGCCCTCAGGGGTGAGCCAGCATTTAATCTGGTGTCCCCACCAGCATCCAGCACTAGCTGGGCATAGGGATTCCCCAGGAGCTCAGGGAGGTGGGGAACAGGCACTAACCTAGGAGGCTACTGGCAGACGTGATCTAGGCTCAGATGGAGGAGGCACAGGGAGGGCAGGAAGGGGTACAAACAAAACTCCCAGGAATGGGACTTAGGATCAGAGGTCTGCAGTGGACCAGAGCTCTGGCTGAGAGCCAGAGACCTAATTCTATCTGCGAATGACTAGAGGAGCCACACAGGCAAAGCCTGGGAGACCAGGTGGCACAAGAAGGGAAAGCCGCAGCTAGATGAGACAGGAAAGCTGGGCCAGGCTGGGGGCTGGGAACCTTGTCCAGGAGCCCAGGCCGGCAGGTGAGTCTGGGCAGGACAGGGGCTGGAAGGAGAGATGAAATCAGGAGACCGGTGAGGGTCCAGGGGAGAGGATGAGGCCTGAATGGAGCTGTGGGAATAGAGAGGAAGAGATGAGGCAGACAGGGGTCAGGGACCAAGAGGGACAGGGAATGAGAGTGTGCAGAGGTGTTCATGGATGAAGCATGTTCTGTCATCCTGCAGAGCCTGCCAGCCCCTGGCTCCTTTCACATATCCAATCATTCGCTCCTTCAGCAATAAATTCTTAAGGGCATAGTGCCAGGTATTGGAGAATCTGCCATCATGGTTCCCAGTCCAGAGCAAAGGTCGGCAAGCTGAGGCCCAGGGGCCAATGCATCCAGCTAGCTGTTTTTGTAACAGAACTTTATTGGGATGCATCTACTGTTTGACTACAAAGGTGGAGTGGAGGCCACACAGCCCCCAGACCAAAAAGGCTCACTCTCTGGCCCTTTATAGAAACAGTTTGCCAAACCCTGGTTGGACGAAGCAGAAAATAAGAAAGAAAAGAAAAAGATTTTTTTCAGGTCACTTCAAATAAGGGGGATCTGTGGAAGCCTTTTATAAGAGATGACATAAAACCTGAAGGGTGGAAAGAGCCAGCCAGGCAGAAGGAACAGCAAGTGTCAAGGCCCTCAGGTGCTGAGGCCATCTGTCAAAGAAATGACCAGGAGGGCAGCAGGGCTGGAGCTGAGCTGACGGGGGTGGGGGGAGTACAGAGTGGGGTCTGGGGAGCACCGTGGCACGATGAGGCTGGGTTTGATCTTAAACATATAGGAGCCAGGTGTGCTGGTGCATGCTTGTAATCCCAGCAGTTTAGGAGGCTGAGGTAGGAGAATCATAAGCTAAAGACCAGCCTTAGCAATTAGCAAAGCCCTAAGCAACTTAGGGAGGCCCTGCCTCAAAATAAAAAATAAAAAGGGCTGGGGATGTGGCTCAGTGGTCGAGTACTCCTGGGTTCAATCCCTCATACCAAAAAAAAAAAAAAAAAAAAAAAAAGATAAAAAAGAAACTCTGCTGCAGTCTAAGGAGATGCCACCGGGGAGCTTGAGGAGTCCCCAAGGATAGCTTGTCTAAAACCTACGTTCCACAGAAGTTCAGGAAGGGTTTGACCAACCCCAGGCCATAGAGCACATGGGGAGGACCCAGGCTTCCAGTTCCTAGTCCAGGAAGGACTGCCTGCTCCCTGGTTCCATCCCTCTGCCTCTCCTTTTTGCAACCCCCACCATCCTCCATTCTCATCTCATTACTCTCCCCCACTCCCCTCCCTTATCTCATCTTGCCCCTCCCCCTGCTTGCACCCAGCCCTTCCACCCTTTGTTCCTCCCCCCCACATCTGAGGGGCCCTGGTGAATTGGAGGGGGGAGGGGGCCAGAGGAAGGGGGGATATGGGTGGGGGATGGGGAGGTCCCTGCTTCTCTGCCTATGATGCCAAAATCCATTCATTGAACTCAAATGATGGCTGGAGCTGATGGGGCTGGCTGAGTCTTCCACCCATGTCCGGGATCCTTCCCTACCAATGCCCACCCCAATTTCTTTTCCCAGGACTCTCCCTTCCACCGAGACCCCTCCCCACCCCAGTTGTCCTCTTTCTCTCCTTTCCCCCAGACTCTCCTTCCTTGTCTGCCCTCCACCCTGACCAACCACTGATTGCACCTGACCTTTGCCCCCCCCTCCCTGCCCACCCAGCCTTGGCTCCTCTGCCCCTCCCCCAGCCACCCTGGAAGCTCCTTCCACATTTGAAGTCTCTGGCCGCCCCATTTCACTGCTCCCCTTCCCCGGAAAACACCAGAGAGGAGGAAGAGATCCCGGCGTTTCTCCGACCCCCCAACAGTGAGGCTGTGTTGGGGGGTTCCCCGACCATCCTCCCGCCCCCCGCCTTGACTCTCTGTATTTCTGTCCCCAGCTCTTGTCACCGCCTGAGACCTCGTGAGACCCTCGGGTCCCCCCTGCCCCTTCCCCCCAGGTTAGCAATTGGGAATGGCTGGGAGGGGGTGTCCCCATGATACTGGGCTTCAAATCCCCAGGCCCTCTCCTACAGTCAGGACTCCCGCCTTCAGACAGCGCCCCTGGCTCTGTAGAAAAGCCATGGAACTCCCCCCAGACGCTGGCAGAACCGAAGATGGACCAAGCTTTCAGAAACCACACACACTGCTCCTGGATCTTGAGTCCCGTGAGCTGTCCCTTAGCGCCTCCCCTCACCCGCAGAAGCCCATTTCTTTCAGACTTTGGGATGCTTCAAATCCTTTCACCACTGACACTGCCTGGACCTTCCTGGACCCTGGAACGATGCCCCAGGGATGAGCCTTGCCCCTGCCCACTGCTCTTGTAGTTCTCTCACTCCCCTAGGGCACTGCCAGCTTTGGTTCCTCGTCCCCACAGCCCTACCCGCCTTGTCCCCATTCCATACACTAGGTGGCCCCCAACCCCACTCTGCTGTCCTGCCCAGCCCGTTTCCCTCCAAGCCCTCTCCACCGGCTGCTCCCCACATGCATTCCACCGGCCCCTCCCCACGCCCCTGCCGCCCACCATCCCGCCTTGCTGCCCCCCACCTTTTGGCCTGAGATGAGGGGTCTACGGGGAGGGACGGGTGGGCAGGGAAAGGGTGGGGTGGGGTGGGGGGGAGGCTCGGTGGGCGCCACCGCCTCCTAATCCTGAGTCTCTCCCCCTCCCTGTGTCTGAACCTTGCTCGTGGATGCTGACTGACGCTCCGATTTGTTCACTTCTCTCTCTCTCTTTCTCTCTCCATCTCCTTGGTCCATCTCTGTCTCTTGCCATTCCTCTTTTTGTGCTCCGTGTCTGTCTCTGCCTCCCCATTCTCCTGTCTCTTATTTCTGTCTTCTTCACCGTCTCTGTCTCTGGCCACCTCTGTCTCTCTGGGTTACCTCTCGCCCTCTCTTCCCTTTCTCTCTTTTTCTCCCTGCCTTGGGGTCTCTCTCTGGGACTCTCCCTGCACTCGCATTTCCATGCTTCCTCCCGGTGTTTCTGCCCTTCCCCCCAACCCAGGTTACGAGAAATCCCGCAGCCTGAGCAGCATCGCGGGCCTGAGCGGGGTGTCCCTACGCCTCGCACCCCTTGCCACCCCCCCAGGCTCTCCCCGGGCCACCCGCCGTGCTCCCCCAACCCTGCCCTCCATCCTTTAGCGCTCCCCTCCCCCCTGTGGGGGGACTCGGGGGTGACCGGGAAGAAGGTCAAAGGAGCTGGGGGTGGGGGGTGGGGGAAAGTTTTTTTTTTAAAAAAATCAAAAAGTCATTAATAATATGCAACCGAAATGATGACGCCAGCAGACACCCCCGGGCCCCTCACCCACAATCTGGGCCCCAGGATGGAGGGGGAGGGGCTGTAGCCGTTCCCCCAACCCCCCCAAAAAAGCCTTCTCAGGTCTCCATGAGCCATAGGACACCCCCTCCCATCAACTCGTGTAAATAAGTCCAAATTATGCCAGTTACAACTTGGGGCACCTCCCCCCAAACGCACTCTGCATGCCTCCCAGATCCGGACCCTGCTCCAACTCCTCAGCAATAAGCCACCAGGGGCTGCGTGCTGCGAGTAGGGGGCTGGGAGCTCCAGGAGTAGGGCTGGCCTTTAAGCCACAGGAGGGTGTCCTGGCTTCCTATCCTTCACCCCAAGAGGGCAACCAACCCATCACGCATTGATTAAGGAGAAACAAAATCCTAGAAAGGGCTCAGGGAAAGGAGAGATTGCTAACCAGGCCAACAAAGAGCTGAGCTCAGATGGCAGGATGAGACAGGAGTGGTGGGCTGCTGCCAGCTGCTCCCTCAGCCTTTAGGAGGATCCCTCTGGTGAATTCCACCCTCTCATCCCCCACCCCACCCCCAGGGATCTGCTCGCCTCTATTCTTGCTGCATGGACTCAGACCTGCCATCCTAGAATTCTTGGGATGATTTGGCCCTAGCACATAAAATTCCCCAACCCTTTCCCTCTGTTCCCAGGACATGAGACCTGCATCTAGGATTCCTGAGATGGACCCTGGCACCCCACACCCCCAAATCCCCACACACCCCAGGGGCCTTGCCTCTGCACACAGATGCTTCCCTTCCCCTCCCCAATATGCCCACCCCCAAATTCCCTGGACCGCATCCCAGCACTTTTTAAACCTCCAAGACTTGACCCAGCTCTTTAGCTCAATTTCAGCCTTTGGGATGCTCCAAATCCTTCCCACAACTTTGACATATCCCAGACACCCCCAAGTCCTTAGGCCTGCCCCCCATACACCCCCATATCCCTAACATCAGATTCATCCACCCTAGGTCCCACTAATGCTAAACTTACAAAATAGGCTCAGCCTATCTTTAAATCCAGGGAGCCAGACCCATCCCAGCACCCCCTTTCTTAGGTAAGCCTAGCCCTGCCCCTCACGAGGCTCCTTCCCCAAGATGGTGCCCCAAAGGTACCCTCTTCATGGCCACCAGTGTTTCCAAAGTGTTGTTCTCATGCTCCTGCTGGTGTGTTAAGGTATTAGGCAATACAAGGACAAACTCCTGTTAAGAATTCTTTAATGTGCACATCTTGCATATTAAGCTCATAAGTGCACGTATTGCTACTTGGCCAGGGCACCATTTATGCAGGTTAAAAATGTTTCCATTTAAAGCAGTCCATAAGTGATCATAGAGGCTGTGCCTGAATGGAGGGACACTGATATCAAGCTTGGGAGACAACGACATACCCCACTTGGCTGGGATTCCAGCACTCCCTTCCCCAGCGTTCCTCGTCCCGCTACACTCGCGGGTGGAAAATCATTTCTCATATCCCATCCTGGCTCAAGGATGCGCTACCTCCCCCAAGCCCAGAGATCACACTGGTCCCAGAATCATTAGCGGCCCCCCCACTTTTGCAGCTGGGGGCCCACGTGAATCAGCAACCTCCCTCTGCTCCCACGGGCTCAGAACCCCCCACTTCCACCCGATGGTGTGTGTGTGGGGAGGTCACTGAACACGATTCTTGATGCAATGATTCCTATGCAAGGGGCATTTTGAGTCCCCTCATCCTTCCCTCGGACCCTAAACCCTGAATCAGGGGTGAGGGGTGGGGAGGGCTCTGGTGGGGGCGGGGCAAAGGGCTAGGGGCTTCAGACACCAGGGTACGAGGTGGGGACTGATTATATTGCCAAAGGGTTCAACTTCTTTAAACAACCCCCAGTTTCCCTGACCCTCACAGAAGCCGGACAGGGCGGGGAAAGGGGTGAGGGTCTTTTCCAAAGGGTACTGACCTCTTCCCAAAGTCTCCCCAAGCTCGCCAATCCGCCAAAAGTACCCAGCTTTTTAGTTCAGCTTTTAAAAAATAACCACAATCATTATAAATGTCTACAAAACGTAACTTTCGTCCCCTCCCTCCCCATCTCCCAAGTCAACAGTGTGGGATTCGGGGAGGGAGAGCGAGCTAAAGCGACTAGTTCACAGTCCAGCTCCCTACTTTCCCCCGGCCGCCAGGGTGCCTGCAACTACACGCATGCGCTGCATGACGCGCCCCCCACACGCATGTCACGCCCCTCCAGCGCTCCGGGAACGCACGGAAACGGGGCAGGGGGCGGGGCGATTGGGGAGGAATGAATGGCTGGGGGTTTTCCAGAGCTCAGCGGCTCCCCCTCCCCAACACACACACAGCAATAAGTTTCTCTCACTCAACTGTGGGCGGGGCGGGCCTGGCCTGTCGCTGAGGGGGGGTGGAGGGAATGGCAAAGGGGCGCTCTCAGGGATGGGGGCGGGGGTCTGGAGTCAAGTGTGAGGAGGGGAGGTCTGCAAATCGTCCAATTCTGGTGCTAACGGCGGGTCTTCTCAGCCCACCCGCAGGGCAGGGAGGGAGGGGTCGGCAAGGCCACTCCCCCAAGCCTCCCCCACGCCCACCCAGGGTGCATGAACCGCCCAATGCAGAAGCTGCCGCATGTCGTCACACCTTCCCCAAAGAAAAACTGTCATGCCCCCTTCCCACCCACTCTCTCACTCCCCATCGAAATAAAAACTTCCTTTTCATTTAAGTTGCTTCCTATTTGTTGAGAAGTTCTCCTGATTGGGGTTGGGAGCACGCAGAGGAACTGGGACTTCAGGAGTGGGTTGGTATTAAAATGGCAAGGGTGTGACTTTGGTGGGTCACACATCCCCTTGATTGCGGACTCTCACCCTATTCGGGCAAGAGCCTTCTTCAGTTTCTTTGGTGACAAACATGCGGATCAGCATTCCCAACTAAAAACCTGGTGGAGTCTGGGGAATGTGAGCCCTTATAGAGAGGGGCCTAGTCCGCACAGGAGCTGCAGACCTGAGCACCCACCATGAGCTCAGGGCTGAGGGCCCCACCCTCTGCATTATGCCTGGGTTGGAATCCTGACTCAACTTCTAACCAGCTGTGTCCTTGGGCAAGCAACTCAGTCTAGCTGAGCTTGTTTTTCATCATGCTAAAAGGGCGGGAGGGGTGTGGTTTATCAATAAGCAAGTATTTGCTGTATACTAAGTGCCAGGAGCTGTTCCAGGTACTGGAAAGCAGTGACATGCCTCTCTCTAAAGAATTGCCAGGGGTAGAGACAAGCATCATGTGCTTGGCACAGATCTCCCAGCTCAAACAATCATTTTTTAAAGATTTATTTTTATTTTTTTTTTTAGTTGTAGTTGGACACAATGCCTTTATTTCACGTATTTATTTTTATGTGGTGCAGAGGATCGAACCCAGGGTCTCCACGTGTGAGGCGAGCACTCTACCCCTGAGCCACAATCCCAGCCCCAAATGATCAGTCGTTTTAAAAATTTTTATTTATTGCAAAGACTTGAGAGTTGGTCTGGCACAGCCCACCCCTGGCACTCACTGGAGGCTTGGAGTGAGGAATAAGGCCTCAGAGAGCCTGGGCTTTCTCAACTATATAATAAGCTGTGATTAAAACCAGCAGAGCCCCTCCTTCCAACCCAGGGGAACTGAAGAAGCCCCCACACCCCATCAGAGGTTCCCTGGAGGGACACACAGTCACAGCTAAGAGTCCAATCAGGGATTGGAGTTTATTTCTGCCAGGGCTGGGAAGCTGGAACAGTAAGGGAGACGCTACCAGACCCCTCTGGGAACTCCAACCTGTGACTACAGAAGACCAATTAGAAAGGAGGACAGAGTGGGCAGGAGAGGATAAGAGGGGCTCCTTGTCCTGTCTTTGCAAGGGGCTCAGGATCCTTAACAATTGAAGAAAGGATGGGGAGCTGAGGGGACCATAGCTTCCCCTCAAGCAATAGAGCCCCAGTGGTTGCCGTCTAGCCAGTCTCTCTCCTTTGTGCTTGGGGGACCACCAGTTGACAGGATGTCTCAGGGAGGGGAGGTGGTTGATAAATGCCAAAAAGTGCCAAAGGGCAACATCATTTCCAAAGTGCAAGAAGCCAAAGGGTGGGGTGCATGGGACAAGTGCCTGCTGCCCTTAGTGCACCTTGGCAAGGTGGGTCACTGGGGCTGGGCTGATGGAGGGCCCTCAGGTTCAGGGGGCGGTGGTCCAGAGCCGGGCTCCGCCTCCTGGGCCTCCTCCTCGTCAGAAGCCACGCCCTCCTCCAGGCGGAAGACCTGCCGCACAGTTCGGGTGGTGAAGGTGAGCGGGCCCCTTCTGTGGAAAGAAGAGAAAACCAACACAGAGATGAAAAGAGAGGGGCAGAAAGAAGAGAGACGGGGAAATATGGAGAGAGACAGGGAAAGAAAAGGAAATGGGGAGAGAGGGACAGGAGACAGAAAGGAGAGAGAGGGATGAAGAGATGGGGGACCGAGAAATGGGGGATGGCAATTTGAGGGGCAGAGAAAGATGGGGGGACAAGAGGAGGTGAAGACAGAGGGAGATGGAGGACAGAGGAAGATGAGGTGGAAAATGGACAGAAAAATAGAGGAAGAAAGGAGGAAAGAGAAGGCACAGAAATGAGCCAGAGCAATGGGTGTGGGAACAAAAGGGAATAACTGAGGACCTGGCTCCTCCATTCCAGCCCTGTTCCCAAGCTCCCGGCTCCCCGCATCCAAGGACCCAGCCTCTCTATCCCTAGAACACATCAGGCATGTTTAGAAAGGCCTTACCTGAGCCGGTTCCTCAGCGTTGTCACCTCTCGATTCATGGACTCAGCTGACTCTGTGACATCCTCCAGTTCCCGCTGAAGCCTCCGGCGACCAGCTTGAGCCCTGGATGCCTCCTCCTCAGCCTCTTCCAGCTGCCTCTTCAGCTGCTTCACCCGAAGGTTCCCTTTCTCCAGCTTGGCAGAGTAGGGGGCCCAGGATTTATCTCTGGGTCTCACTCTCCTTCTCCCACAGCCATCTAATTCCCAGCTTCTTCTCACCTGCCCCCTGACCCCTTCTGTCCCATCCCCTGCTCTCTGTTCACTCTTGTCATGCCAGTCTCCAGTGGGCCTCCAGTGGATCCTCTGTTAGCCAATCTTCACATGGCCTCAGAGGGTTCTTCCTACACCCAGATCTGACCCTGTCCCCTGTTCACAACTTTCCATGGCTCCCCAGTACTGCTGGCAGAAGGTCCCAGCATTTCAGGTGGGCAGGCTCTCACTCCTGACTATTTCTCTGCTCTTCATATGCCCACTGACCAGAACAACTTCATCAAGATCCTCTCAGACCCTCTCATCTCTTTCTCCACATAGTCCATTTCTTATCCCTCAACACCTCACCCCTTTTTTCTCTCTAGCATGCTTGTTTGTTTTTTGCTTTTAAGTCACCAAGCTTATTTCCACTCTTCAAGGACTTTGCACTTACTCCTTCTTCCTAGCTCTTCCTTATCCTATGTATCTCAATTCAAATTTAACCTCCTTAGAGAGGTCTTCTTGATAAAATGGATTCCCTGTTCCTCTGACTTCCTCTCTCTTCATTCCCTTTTTTTCTTTATATCTCTTGCCACAATCTGCAATTACCTTTGCCCATTTATATGTTTACTGCATCCTTCTCTGTGCTGACAATGTGAACTCTATGAGGGACAGAACCTTCTGTCTCATGTACATCCATATCTCTTAATGCCTAGCCCAGTGCTTGCTATGTAGCAGGTGTTCAATAATTGTGGAATGAACAGCAAATAAAGCACTGCTGAGCTTTTAAGGGCACAGGGACTCAGTCTAGCCAAATAGACTTGGAGTCTGCTCCAGGCTCAATCACCTACAAACTCTGTGATTTGGGTGCAAATTATATCCCTTTTTAACATTTTGATTTCTTTACCCATGAAATAGGGCTAGTGATAAAATACTAGTTATTTTTTAAAGCAATTACTTATGACACAATAACTGATCAATAAATAACAGCACAGATTCTGGGTCAGTGTCTGACCACCAATCCCACCTCATACTAGCTAAATAATTTTGAGCAAGTCACTTTATATTTCTGTGCAGTTTCTTCACTTGAATAGGGGAAGTAACAGTACCTACTTTATAGGGTTCTGATAAGAATGAATGTACTACATGTTATGTCTTTAGCACAGTGCCTGGCACATAAAAAGCACTTAATCTATTGTTAATTATGGGTCTAGCTTCTTGGTAGGGCTTAATTTCTTTCCTCATCCTGATTGCCTCAGCTTCCTACCTGGGCCCTTTTCAGGCACCAGAATTTTTGTGAAAAGCCAAATCACTAGTTAAAACCCTCTGTTGATGCTCCAAACCCCAGGTTGGCATCTGACTAGAACTCAGTACAGTCCAGCATCTGCATGTTGGTCTTTGTGTGGCAGAGGAGCTCACTGCCTCTTGAGATGGTCTGTGCTGTTTTTAAGTCAGAAGTCCCACTGCCCACTCTTCCCTAATGACATCAACTGCTTACCTGGTCCCGGAGCTGGTCCGCCACCCTGCGCTCCTCCTCCACCTGCATAACCACTTCCTTCAGCCGCTTCTCAGCTCTTCGCACCAGCTTGCCCGAGAGGATGCGCTCTCTAAAGGGAGATTCAGAGAAGGCTCAGGGGGACTCCCCTGGGACTGACAACAGCAGGGGCAGTAACAACAACAAAGAAACAAGCACAGGAGAACTGAGTGTGGGGGAGAAACCACCGCACATTTGGAGCCAGAAGTGTTTTGTGCAGAGTGGAGTATAGAGAAAAAGCAGTTTTGTTTTTTTTCCCTTCCAGTCACTCCTGAGGATCCCATCCATGTTTTCACAGTTTCCAGTCTCCACTAGTTCCCTCACATTCCCCAGCTTTCCCCCCTGATCCTCTTAAGTCCTCCATCTCAGGACTGACTGACCCACTGACCACCCAGTGTGAAAGTGACATAAAAACTGGAGTCACTTGTGTCACAACTCTAACAAAAGCAAGTCCAGGAAGCTCTCATGCACAGATGCCCAGATGACCACAAGAGGACTCATCATGGGACATTCTTAGGCAGAGTGGTCTAAGGGCTTGTCCAGGACTTCTCAAAACCGCTTGCACAAGGGCACTCAAGGGGCAATGCCCTGTCAACCAATTAGCCAACACCAGCTCCTACAAAAATCCTGTGGCCTCTGGTCCAGCTCGCATGGAATTCCTCTTTCCTGACCACCTCAGATGCTACAGCTTGCTCTTCCTGTAGCCCCACTGCTCCCTCCAACCCCATCCCTCCACTCTGGAGAGCTGTCTCCAGTGAGCTTCTTTAGGGGTTGAAACCAGTTTCCAGGCCACATCACCACGCAGATTATTTGCCTTCTTCTTTACTTTGCCCCATTCATCTTTAGGCCACTCAGTACCTGGACCCTGTCCCAGCAATCCCCCGAACTCTGTCTTGTTCCCTCTTCTCTGAGCTCAAAGCCCTGTCCACTCGGGACTCAAGTCTCTCCTGCTCTACTTTCACTGTCTGGCATAGAATTTCCTGTCCTTCTTCTCAGCCTCCCTCTCTGTCTGTCCATAAGCGCCTTCTCTCTTTCTCATTCACACACTTCCCTGGACAAGTTCAGCTCTCCCACGTCAGCAGGTTGAAGTCTGCTCTCTGTTTTCAGAGCTGCAGCTTGGCCCAGCCCCCAGCTTGGGCCTCCACCAGACCACACGTCCCTCAGTTCCCTGTGGAGCTCAGCGCCTTCTCCCAAGCCCATTCCACCTCTGGGTTCTTCATGATCCACCTGGAGCTGCAGGTGAGAGCCTGGGAGTCATCCTTACCTTCTCTATCTCCTAACTCCCCTCACATCCTTTTCCTCCCATCTCCTGAATTTCCCCCACCTACAGTCCCTGCTTGCCTGCTGTCTCCTGCAGGGCCTGTCACACCCGGGGTAAAGTCCACGTGATGGGCCCCTAGTTATGGGCAGTGCTCAACAGCTACAACTGGACCTTTTCATCCCTGGCTGAGAATCAGGCACAGGGCTGACAGGGGGAGTGGGATGACACTGAGAAGTGGAAAGTGGGGCAAGGGAAGAGACCCCTTCAACTACAAATCGTCTGACCACTTGTAGCTCCCAGGGTGACTTTGAGTGGTGGTTCACCTCCTCTGAATCTGTGTCCTCATCTTTATAATAGAGCAGAGAGCACAGGGGCTTGGGCTGCCCATGAGCCCCTGGAAGGCCTCCCTATGGGCCTTAAACTACAATTCCCATGAGTCCCTGGGTGCCTGGCAAGCCTGTGGACCTCCTCTGGTGGGCTTCCAGGGCTGAGTCCTTTCTCTTGTCTGTGAGCCTCTCACAGTGAATCCAGCAGCTTCCTTCCAGCTCCCAGTACTCCCCAGTCACCAGGCTTAACCCCCAATTATCTGCTCTTCCCCTCCCCATCACAGCCCACCAGTCCTCAGCTCCCCCATCTTCCCCCCACAATCTCTTCTTTATCCCCCTCTGTGCATCCTCATGACTCCAGTCCCAGCTCAGGCCTCATCTTCTGCCTGGGCTCTTGGCCCCTCATTCAACCTCCTTCTAGGCCTCCCAGCTCCAGCCTCTCTATTCTAGTCCTCTCAGCTCTATATGTGAGCTAGTCCTGCTCCTCCTCTGGATCATGGCACCCTCATGACTTCCCTGTGCTCCAGAAGAGAGCTCCCTTGCCTGGCATTCAAGGCTCTGTGCAGTTCAAGTCTTGTCTCCATTTCATCTCCTTGATCCCTTTCTTGCATCTCAGATTCCCATAACCAATGACCGTCTGCCACGTGCCTTGGTGCCCTCCATACCTTTCCCTCCCACACCTACTCCCAGACCTGAGCATATCTCAAGTGGGGAATCCCAGCCAACCATGTCTTTGTGGGGAGATGTCTAGCTTCACCATTTCCTCAGTGCCATACGCATGGGAGGGTATGCAGTATACTGTTACTACAGGCTTCCTGACTGAACCAAAGAATGAACGAGAGAGTGAGTGAATGAAAAGGGAACCTACCATACTTTTTCCTATGTGACAGCACTCACCTCTCTAGACAATGGTAGATGCTGAGTTGCAAGTCAGGCATCCTAGATTTATAGCTTATTTCTGTTTCAGTCTTCTTATATTAAAATAGGGATAATAATGGTCTTCTCACAAGGATTACATGATGTCACACATGTCGATACAGGTAGTCACACACCTACTATATAGTGAGTCCTCAGTAAATGAGAACTATTAGTATTGTTGTTGCCAAATAGTGTCAAGCAGTAGGAAGATCTATTTGTATTAAGTTTAGTAATAAATGTTTTGTTGTCCTATTAGCATAGAGTTTTCACCTGGGAATGTCATGGGACTGCTCTTTTGTTTTTAAATATTTGTTTTTTAGTTTTAGGTAGACACAATATTTTTATTTTTATGTGGTGCTGAGGCTCGAATCTAGTGCCTCATGCATGCTAAGTGAGCACTCACCACTGAGCCACAACCCAGCCCGGGACTGTTCTTAATTCCTCCCAAAACTGAAGATGGAAAATCTTTCAGCCAGATATTGCATCTGTTTCCTTACTCTGAATGTGGATATGTGGATATGTGCTTGGTGAAAGCACAGCAATCTTGTGATCATGAGGGAAGGACTACACAGTTGCTCACCCAGAGCTCTTCCTCTTTTGACTGACTCCAACTCTTATCATGTGAGAAAAAGAAATTCCTTTTGTGGTAGATTTATGGAAACAATGACCCTAATTCTTACCCCTTCCTGTACCCACACCCTTGGCAATAATGACCAGAGCTGCATTTGTCAAGTGGTGATCTGTTTTCTCATGCCCTTGAACTTGAGCTGGCCCATGACTTGCTTTGGTTAATAGACTATGGTAGAAGTGACGCAGCACAGCCTCCAAATGTAGGCCTTCAGAAAACTTAAAACACTTTACTTTACTCTTGGGAACTTGACTCACCCTAGGCAAGCCTGCTGAAGGATTAGAGGCCATATGGAGCAGAGAGGCAAGTGCTTACTATTAACTGAGCCCAGACAAGACCAGCAAAACCATCTACTTGACCCTTAGCTGAGCAAAGATGCAAAAGTGTGGCTCACCCAGTCAATCTCAAGTGAACCAGCCAGCCCCCAAACTCACAAACACTAAGTTTTTAGGGTGGTTTGTTATGCATTTATAGCTAACTGCTACATTCTTGTATAAATTGCACTCTCCGTAGGAAGCAGTTACTTGCAGCCCAAAGCATCCTCTCCCACCTACCTGCTTTCCTGCTCCAGTTGCTCTTCTGCCTGGGCTAACTTAGACTCAAGGGCTGCAATCACCATCTTCTGGCGGGCCCGGGCCCCAGCATCTTCCTCACCCAGGCGTCCTCGTAGCTCCTGGATCTGCCGCTCTAGCTGTTGCCGCCCACTCTCAGCCTTGGCTGAGAAACTGCGCTCTGCAGACAGCTCTGTGGTCAGAGTTTCCACCTGCAGAGGTGGGTAAGGGCAGGACATGGTGATGGAGCCTCAGAAGCAAACAGGTGACCAATCAAGAATTAAGAGGACTAATGAGTTTTATATTACAGAGCCTGCACACATACTAAATACTCACAAACGCTAACTTGTACTTTTAGCCATTGCTGTATCCCCCAACAGCACTGCCAATCCTGGGTTTTAACCTTTTGGGTAGTTTTTTTGCTGTTTTAACAAGTCCATGAGACCACCACAAACTTGTTGAAATGCTCTGAATTCTACCTCTGACTGTGACTGAGTCTGTTCCAGGGGTTTATCACTTTTGTTTGCAGCAGGATCCTCTGGGGAAGTTTGTGAAGAACATGCAAGTTCCAGGGTGACACCTTCCAGAGATTCTGCCTCAGTGGGTCTGGATTTGTCATGAGCAACCCAGCAGGTCTGACAGGAGAGACCCGCAGGACGTGAGGATCGTGTCCTCGGTAAAGAGCAGCTACCCCATTGTGGCTGGGTCAACACACTCCTGTAGTCCTGCTGATGTATTCAACAGGTGCTCTGAGCCAGGCCTCGTGCTGGGCAAGGGAAGCAGGTCAGGACGGCTGATTCGTGCTCATTTCATCTCCCACTCACCTGAACACATCCACCCAGGGATTCGCATAGTTTCCTCTATTTCTTCAACTTTTTTATTGCAAAATAAAAGTGTGATATATTGTCAACACTCTCCCAGTCAAGAAACAAAACCTTACCATTCCAGGTAAAGGTGTTAGGATGTTAGTATTAACAACCCTGCCTCCCAAATAGCTCGTCATCCTGACTCTCAGGGCTGTCTCTTCCTTGCACCCTTTGCACGTGTAGGGCTGCACCCTGTTTGCACCCCTCTGCTCACACACGCATGCTCAGCATGGTTCTCTGTCCTCTCTGCTTCCTGCAAACTGGCAGTCGGTCCAAGGACTCAATTCTATTTGTGAGTTTTCAAGGTGATGAGCTGGCTCTCTGTCATCTGCCAAGGGTGTCTTTACAGGGTTGGATAATCTGCCCCTGCCAAAGCCACGTCTACTYAGAACTTCAGAATGTGACCTCATTTGGAAATAGGGCCTTTGCAGATGTAATTAGTTAATTCAGATGAGGTCATATTGGCGTAGGGCTGGCCCTAGATCCCACAGCCTGGTGTCCTTGTAAGAAGGGAGGAGGCCCAGGCAGGCAGAGAGGACGCAGGGCAGAAGCCACGGGGGGACAGAGGCGAAGGCTGGAGTGGTACCCTGCAGGCCCAGGGACACCAAGGGTGACTGGCAGTCACTGAAGCAGGGAGAGACAGGACCAACCAAGCCAGATGATACCTTGATGATTTTGGACTTCTGGCCTCCAGAAGTATAAGAATAAATTCTTGTTTTACGCCACCAGGTTTGAGATAATTTGCTAACAGAAGTTCTAGGACACCAGTGTGGTGACTAGTATTTTCTTTTTTAAATGTCACTATGAAGACAGGCACAGTGGCATACATCTGTAATATCAGAAACTCAGGAGACTGAGGCAGGAGGATCACAAGTTTAAGGCTAGTGAGGCCCTGAGCAACTTAGTGAGACCCTGTACCAAAGTAAAAAATTAAAATACCTGGGGATGTGACTCGGTGGTTAAGTGCCCCTGGGTTCAATCCCCAGTATTAAAAAAAAAAAATCACTGTGAGCTAGACTTAGACACAGTTACATATTTGATGGGTTCGAATCAGCTGCCATTATTGTCCTTCTGAAGCTCACACTGCCCCATCGTGGGCCAGGGGAAGGCACTGCGTCAACTTCCAACTCCTTTTGACATCGCTGCACCATCTTTATCCCTGAGGGGACGGGCAGGGGTTTAGGCTATCCTTGTTCACCTCCTTTTCTTCTTTCCTTTGCGTTGTGCTGGGTATGGAACCGGGGGCTTCATACATGTAAGGCAAGTGCCTTACCACTGAGCTACACTCCCAGCTCAACTCTTGCTCCTTTCTTGCTCCAAATATGGAAGCAGCCATTTTTGAAGAATTCCTATTTTGAAGAATTCTCTCTCTCTGGTGGGACATGGTTTTCCAGACCACAACCTGGGCACGGGGATGCCCACTGCCACTGGGTTGAAGGTTGCTTCCAACCCGTGGGGGTGGACCCTGAGAAAACGGATCACATCAATTACATTGTCAGCCCCTGTGGATATGACTGCATCCAAATCAGGGTCACCGGCCTGTTCTGTTGACTTTAACCCCTTCCTTATGCCTGCTAGATTCTTCCACATTAGCATCCTCATGTCCAGGGCATGGTGGGTGCCAGAATCAGCACATCCCATACTGTCATTTCCGTTATCCCATGTGACATGCACAGTGATCCCAGAAAAACAATGCTTATAATCTCACCACCAATAGAATGAATGAAAATTGGTTTTAAAAAAGTTCTCGCATGTTTCCCCTTATTTTAAAGTCACACTCCACATAACTGCTGAGCATGTGGCCGTCACTTTCCTCACTCCAACCCTTTTAACCTTCGTCAAGTCTAGGACTAGGAAGAAATGAAACATTATTACTCTTCTGCTGATGTCTGTCCGGTGGCAATTCGCACCTTGTTCTCTTGGGCAGTGGCTTCAGTCTGGCTGACATTGGAGCTACTTGGAAGATTCGTTAAAACACTGCTATAGTTCGACTCTTAAATGTCCCCAGAAGGCTCAGGACCCCTAGCATGGTCCCCAGGTTGGTGCTGCTGGGAATGGGTGGAACCTTTGAGAGGCGGAGCTAGAGGGAGGTGTTCAGGCCGTTGGGGGCGCGCTCTCTAGGGGAACTCCATGGAGAGGGGTCCTGCTCTGCCACATGCTCCCCACCATTGCCATCCGGAACCCCTGACAGAGGCCGAGGAGCCACGGCTCTGCCTGTTCATAGACGAGAGCCTCCACAACTGCAAGCTGCGGAAACCTCTCTCTCTCTTTCTCACCCCCAGCATGCCTCCCTCCCTGGGGCAGTGGGCCTCAGAACCTGCAGGCCTCGGAAGTGATTGCGATTTTATTCTGAGTGATGGGAGCAGCCACATCCTGGAACACGCCTGCCACCCCCACCCTGGGAGCCCCACAAGGGCTGGGTCTGACTCCTTCCTGTGCCCCCAGCTATGCAGGGATCTGGTGCATGAGACAACTCAACATGAATGACGTAAGTAGGCACAGGTCTCTGTGGCAATCTCATGGCCCTGCTGTCCCCCCAAGACCTGCCCGCTTCCCAGAAGGAATCCTAGGGGACTCCTGCATGGGCTCGTCTGTCTTCTCCATCACTCCAGGATGTGTTCAGGGGCAGGGACCTAGACTGATCCATTTGCTGGTCCCCAGCACCAGCCAGAATAGGACCTGGGCTTCCAGAAGCCTCAGAAAATATTTATGAATTCAAAACACATGCTTTTCTTCTCTGCTGACCACTTACTAATGCTTTAAAATCCAGACAAACATCTCTCCTTCCAAAGGCCTTCTTGTGACTCCTGCAGAGAGTGTCAACTCTCTTTCTCTTTCCTCCCACCCTTGGCTGACCAGAATACTCCTATTATCATGCTTGTCACCCTATAAAGTGACAGTCTGTTACCTCCAGAAACTCCATAGGCCTCATCTAATTCATATTTGTACCCAGACCTTGAGATACTGCAGAAACACAAGTGAATGAATGCACCGAGCCTCCCCGCGAGTACAAACTCCTACTCAACCTTCAAAACCCAACTCAGATACTCCCCTTTCCATGTCTGCTGGGTAGGAGGACTGAAGATTAGGATCCCAGGCGAGTGTACACCCAGACTAGCAGTGGATGGCGGAGCACACGCACCTGCAGGAGGAGCTTGCGGTACCGGTCATTGAGCAGCTCTGCGTTGCTCTGCTCCTCCTCCAGCTCCTCTTCCATCTGCCCCAGGCGCCCCTCCAGCTGGCGCTTCTCCTCCAGAATGGCTGCCCTAGAGAGAACGGGAAGGGGCAGGTGTGAGAGGGCAGGGTGGCCAGAGGAGGACGTCTCGTCCCATGTTTCCCGGGGCCACTCACTTGCTAAGGTTGCCGTTGGCTACTTCGTCTGCCATCTCATCCCGATCCTGCTGGGCCTGCCGCCTGGCGCGGTCCGACGCGGCCAGTTCCTGTGATGACAGGGGCGGACGGTCAGTGGGGTGAGGGGAATTATCTGGACACTGATCTCACCCGCTCCTGGTCCTCACACCTCAAGTCTCTGGGTCTTTCTTCCACTGATCAGAAAGACACTGTCCCCAAGCAACTCAGGAGTGAACGTCAGTGTACAGGCAGGTTTCTCTTAGGTCCGCCTCCTGCACTGACCCGTGCCCACCTCTGGGTGCCCTAGCCCTCTGCTGCTAAGCTCGCTGTCTCTTCCAGGTGCCAAGCAGGCACCCGGCCAGACCCTCAGTACTCTTTGCCCCCTCCCTCCTGCCCCTGACTGCGTTGTTCCTCTTCCGTGTCCCCTGGAACCAACTCAGGCTTCATCTTCTCTCTCCAGCCTCCCTGCCTCTGGTTTCACCCCCTGACATCCCCCAGGACAAAATCCCTGCCTCTGGCAGTCTGTTATCAGGCCCACCCACCTCCCCCACCTGACCTCCCAGGGCCAGTGGTCGCCCCTGCCGACCTCCCAGCCTCACCTCCTGCAGCCGCAGCACCTCCGCTTCCAGGGCCTTGAGGCGCTTCTCACTCTCCCGGTTCAGGACAAAGATCTCCTCCCGAGAGCTGCGTGACTCCTCCACCTCCCGCCACAGCTCCTTCATCTGGGCCTGGGCACAACGGAGTGGGTGGTGGGCTCAGCCTGGCTGTGCCTCCCAGGGAGCCCCAACCCTCGTACCAGCTTGACAGAGGGGGCTTGGCTCCCATCCATCTCAGAGTCCTAAGGACCTGGGCTTCTGCCTACAAGTCGCTTGCTGTGTGACCTTGGGCCATCTCTGCCCACTCTCTGGGCCTCAGATGCTTCCTCTTAAAACGCGTCTTAAAATTAAAGTAAGTTTAAAATGAGTGTCACAGCTGGACTCTGAATAACAATAAGGATGGCAACACTGACCGCTTACCTGGGCCAGGCCCTGCACCTACACATGCTGACAACTCAGTGCCACGACCCCAGTCCACAGAGAGAGAAACCGAGGCACACAGTTAACACGCAGGGCAGTGGGTGGCAGAGCCAGCATTCCCACCCAGCCCTCTCAGGTTAAGCCAGGCTGCCCCCCGGGCACTTCTGGGAATGTGTTGACATGCAAACACAAAGGATTTCTGCTCAGTGCTTAAAATACAGAAAAATTTAAAACCACCCAAATGTCCACCACCATTAAAAAAATAAAAGACACACTCCACCTTTACAGTGGGTCCTGGCACAGCTGTTAATAATGACATCAGGTGGTGACAGACAATTTTTACTGTTCTATTTTTTAAATTGTTGATGTTTATTTACCTGTGGCACTGAGAATCGAACCCAGTGCTTCACACATGCCAGGCAAGTGCGCTGCCGCTGAGCCCCAGCCCAGCCCCATTATTACTGTTCTTAATATGATTTTTGATGTAATTTTAAATGAGGGGTTTTCCTCAGTGCTGACACGAGGGGCAGTTTTTACACCAGCTCTTCCCCACAGAAATGCAACGTCAAGAACACATGTGGTTTTAAATTTTCTAGTGGCTACGTTCAAAAGGCAAAAAGAAGTAGGTGAAATTAATTTAGATGCTATATTTTATTAATATCCTAATATGTGATCATATATAATATAGCAAATATATATTATATTCCCCTTATAATCAACATAAAAATCATAATGGTAAAATCATATTTTTGGGGTACTGTCACTTTTTTGGGTACTGTTTTTAAAATCCTGTATGTAACTCGTGTTTCAGACCCCAAGTGTCAGATGTCTCATAGCTACCTGGGGCTAGGGGGCAGATCTATACTTTTTTGTTGAACAAAAACCAAGTATAATTCATAGGTAGATTTTTAAAACCTGCAGGCTATTTCCATATCGAAAAATAAAGTGATGAAACCGGAGTTAAAGAACATGCAAGGTTGGGCCGGGGTTGTGGCTCAGTGGTAGAGAGCGCTTGTGGTGCATGCGGGAGGCACTAGGTTCGATCCGGCACCACATAAAAATAAATAAATAAAATAAAGGTACTGTGCCCAACTACAACTAAAAAATAAATATTAAAAAAATAAAGGTATTGTGTCCATCTACAACATATATATATATATATACATATATATATACATATATATATACATATATACACGTATATATATGTATATATAAAATATGTGTGTGTGTGTGTGTAAAAGAAAACAGAACATGCAATGCACAGAAGCAGCCCGCGAGCTCCCTGGCGGCGGGCTGCTCTGTGCGCCTGCGCAGCCGGAGCGCGCTCACCTGCATCTTGCGGAGCTGCTTCACCGCCTCCTCCTTGCCCTGCCCCGCGGCCGTCGTCTGCGCCTTCAGCTCCTCCAGCTCGGCCTCCAGTTTCTTGCGGGCGGCCACCGCCAGAGCCCGCTGCTTGCGCTCCTCATCGCGCTCCACCTCGGCATCCCTCAGCTGCGGGAGCGGGCGGCAGGGTGGTCAGAGGACAGGACGCCCAGGCTCCCCCGTGGCGGGGCAGGTCCACCCACCTCAAGCCCAGATCCTCCTGCCTCGCCTCTCCCCTCCCTCTCCTCTCCTCTCCCTCTTCTTCCCCATGGTCCTGGCTCTGGCCTAGACCTCCCTTTACACAAGAGCCTCTTTCCTGGTTTCCCATCTCTCCCCTCCAGCCCATTCCCACAGTTCCAGAAGGTTCTTTGTACACACTGAGCTAATCCTGCTCACAGTCCTCCCGGAGCTTCCCAGGGTCGCCAGGGAGAAGTCTTGGACGTGCATCTCCATGGGGCAAAGGGTCTTGTGGGGAACTGACACCCACAGAGCCCTTGCCTTTGGTTACCTGCTACTGTTCCCTCCCCTCCCACCTGCTGGCACCCCCACCCCAAGTCTGCTGCCCACCTGGCCCCAGAGGGATCTTTCTGACACTTAGGGCTGCCACTGCCCCTTCCATGCCCAGTACTCAAGGCCACAGAGGGCAGAGCAGGGGAAATCCTGGGTGAACGAAACTGGGGGCTGGGGTCCGGTGGAGTGAGGGGCTAGGGAAAGTGCTGATACCCGCCTGAACTCACTCCAGTCAGATCCAGACAACTCTGGAGCCAGGAAGTAATGAAGGGGGAGGGCTCAGGCCTGCCTGAGATAATCACTTTCTCACAGATTTCCTAAAACTCTCTCAAGAAATTCCTTCCTGGTCCACGTGTCCCCATGCTTTGCAGCACAAGCCTTGCACGTATGTACGGAATTTCTGTAATAAAGCTTATCTTTATGTTCTTTTCCATGGTAGCAATTCATACATGCTCCAGACAGACAGCTGCCCAGCCAGGGCACCTCCACCCATGCCATGATGCCAACACCTGCCTCAGTCTCCAAGATCTGTGCACCCTGAATCTAAGCGGCCTGTGCACGCATCTCTCTTTTCGGGTCTCCCCTTGCCCTCACCTCCTTGGAGAACTTCAACAGTTCTATGGCCCGTGTATTCCCACTGCAATGCTGTTATCCCTAATGGTGAACTTGGTTCTTTATATGATTTTTCCCTGGGTGTTACTGAGGTCCACAGCTGGAAGGGGCAGCTGGGAGGATGGAGGAATAGCTGGATGCCAGGTTGGCTGGGTAGTTGTCTGCTGGTGGGTGGTGGAGGTGGTAGTGTAGATGAGGGTGGTGGATGGGTGATAGCTTGGTGCATGATTGGGTCAGTCCATAGATAAACACAGGGGTTCAATGGGCTGGGGATAGGAAGGTGGTTTGGGGACAAGAGGATGGTTGGCCAGCAAGAGGGATGCTGGTGGACACGATGACTGGTAGACAGGAGGATGGGACCCCCTCGGTGCCTGTGTGCAACAGGGTGCACCCAGCTGGTCTGGTGCCCTCAGCCCCTGCCCCCGTACCTGCTTGGCCAGCTGCCTTCGTCTCTCCTCGCCAGCCTCGTCCCGGCCCTGCAGGTCCCGCTCGTGCTGTGTCTTGAGAGCCTGAACAGTCACCTCCAGGCGCAGCTTGGCATCCTCGGCCGCCGTCAGCTCGTCCTCCAGTTCTGTCACTTGTGTGCGTAGGTCACTGGCGGCCTGTTCTGCCACCCTTCGGGCGCGTTCCAGCTCATGCACCTGGGGGGAGGGCGAGTGAGCACAGGGTACCAGGGCACTGAGGGTAGGGGAGGTGGGGATCCTGGGCAGAGTTGGGGAAGCTGAAGGACGAGGAGGCAGCAGCAGCTGTGCCCCTCGGGTTCTTCCCCGATCCATTCATCCTTTATTGTCTCATTCTAAATTATCTTAACACGTTTTATGAATAGCCTGTGCCTGATACAGGTTGAACATTCCTAATCTGGAAATCCAAACTCCAAAATTATTTTTTATTAGTGTTAGGGATCGAACAACCTAAAATTTAATAGTGCTAACACCACAGATGGAAAATTCCACACCTGACTTCATTTGACATGCTGCAGTCAACAGAAGGTGCACTAAAAATATTGTAAAAATTCACCTTAGGCTAATGTATAAGGTGTATATGAAGCATAAATGACTTTGGTGTTTCAACCTGGTCTCCACCCCAAAGTAATTTATTGCATAAAAGGAAGTATTCCAAAATCCCAAACACACCAAATTCTGAAGCACTCGGTCCCAAGTATTTCAGATAGGTGCTATTCAACCTGTATTCTATCATATGAAGCCTTGAGAGTCCAGTTCAAATGTTTGTTAGGTCAGCTGATGCCCTTATGCCGAGTTATTTCCTACAGTTTTCTAATTTTGGATTTGGGCTCACTTCCCGGGGGCTTCATCTTCAAGAATGCTATGTGAAAACAGACTGCGGGCAAGAAGCTCCAGAGCCGTCAGGCTCCTGGGTACCACAGATTCCCATGTACCTCTATTCCTGTCTGCACTTGGGTATTCTCATCGTTCAGAGAGGTGCAAGTTAAAACCCCAAGTAGTGGCTGAATCCTGAGGCACCCACCCCTGGAGCTTCACCTTCACTGTCACCTTCTAGAGAAGCCACCCTTGATCTACAGGTCTTCCCTGTGACCCATGCTCCTGGCTCTGAGTCCTTCTCCAGTTTAGCCCTTGTCAAGATTGCGCTTTAACGTTCACTGATGTGCCCAACTCTTGAGTCCACAGGCAGGGACTGTTTCTATGGATCACTGCAGGTCAAGTGGCCCTCATTAAGATTCTGGTCAGTGGTGGTGGCTACTTTCAGCCCTTGGAAGGGGCCCACTGAGCCTTCTCTGATTTGGCACCTGTCAAATTAATTTTGTCTACTCAAAAAGGATCAAACTTTCTCCCCTCAACATCCTATTTTCTGCAAAACCCTTTGGATCACTATAAATAATTTTGGGGCAGTTTTCCTAAAGGACAGACCTTCATGGCTCTAGAACCAGCAGGGACTCAGCTCTGGTATTCTGGGGCTGCAGGCCAGGTGCTTCTCTGGGGGCAGGGCTCTCCCCAGTCCTGGCTAAAAGCCCCAGCAGACCAGCCGGTCTGTGAGGAAGACAAAACTCCTATCTGGGCACCCCCAAGAGCACACAGTTGGGTATGAAGGAAATAAGGGTGTCCGGAGGGTGTGCGCCCAGAGACTCAACTAAACACAGATTCTGACAGTGCCCCCATCACCAGCGAGGGTGGACTGTGTCCTGGGGCCTGTGCTGCTCTGCAAGAGTCCTCACTGGATGGATGGAGCGGAGCATTCCTCAGGCCACCTTGAACTTTCAGGGGACTGAGACAAAAGTGGTGTGACAAGGGCCTAGGACAGACCTGCAGCACCCCCTACAGGCCACGAGGGATGTAGCTTCAGACAACAGAATTTTCATGCACAGGTTGTTCATAAAACACGTTCTAGGATGATTCTGCACACCTGAGACTTGGTAGCATTGAATTGGTAGCATGAACTGGGAGGGGCACATCTGCTCGCTGCCTCGGGTCCCTCCCTTCTATGGAGGGAAGAGGGAAGCCTGGTGGGGGAGCCTGCATGTGCTGGGGTTGGAGGAGGCAAAGTGGAAGTTCCCACGTGGCACGTGTGTGCGCATGCATGTGCGTGGTGTGTGCAGGAATGTCCGGGTGGTTCTTAGGCTGTGTGCTGGGTAAGTTCTCTCTGTTCACACCTGTGTATTGAGTAGTTTTCCCCACTCTGAGCACATGCCTGAATGTGTGTTTCATGGAGATTCTCTGCACATTCCATGTCCACTAAAGTCAGAATGTGAGCTTGGTGAGTGGCTCTCGTGTTCTAGGTGTGAATACGTGTGTCTGGTGGAAAGCCCCCCTTCACCCTCCCTGCACATGTGCATGGATGCCTGTGCTTGGTGAGCTGCATTCCCCTTGCTGCTTGTGCAGGAGCAATGACTTCCACAGCGGGTTCTTTTCCCGTGCGTGCAAGGGCATGTGTGTGTGTGCATGAGTGTTTCCCCTCATACAGGCACCCGCGCGTCTTGGGGGTGCTGGCCCTGCTCACGCTCTTGCCGACGTCGTCCTTGCTGCTCAGTAGAGCCTCCAGCTCCGCCCGCAGCGCCCGGTTCTGGCGCTCCAGCTCCTCGCGAGCCTCCTGCTCCTCCTCCAGCGCCCGGGTCAGAGACAGGGCCCGAGCCTCGCGCTCCCGGCCCTCGGCCTCAACGCGCTCACGCTCCTCCACGGCCCGAAGCACAGCTGCCTTCTCCTCAGCCAGGAGCTTCCAGGACAAGGGAAAAGGAGTGGGGGAAATAGATTAGCCGAAAGCAGTGTCCAGGGGTTAGGGAAGAGAGACAGACAGACAGAAAGACTGACTGACAAAAGGGAGGTAGCAGGATTGCAACCATGCCCCAAACCAGCTCGACCCTCAAATGGACCAAACCAATCTTTAGGAAATAGTGTTTCTTTCTTTGGGGTGATGGTAGGAAAATATATATGTATTTTTATGACCTTTTCTGTTTTCTAAAAGTTACAGTAATTGGCAAACAACGAAACTTCAAGATATTTAAAGAAGGAAGAGAACAGGATGCATAGTTAAGACAAAAAAAAATCAGTCCATACAAACAGATCTGCAGATGAATCTCCTATTGGAATTATCACTCAAGGATTTCCGCTATGATAAGTAAATTTTAGAACAAGATGGACTTAATGGAGGAATAGAAAGGCTATTTCAGAAGGGATTTGAAACTGTGAAATAGAACCCCATTGAAATGACAGACCTGAAGATATAATGTATGAAATAAAACAAGTCACTGCATGAAAATAAGAGCATACTGGACACATCATTCAGCAAAAGATGACAGGCCAATAGAAGTTATCCAAATAGATTTTAAAAAGAAAAAAATTGCAAAAATTAACAGAACTTTAATAACCTTTAAGAGAGCATCCAACAATCAAACATGCATGTATTTGGAGTCACAGAAGGAGGGTAAAATAAGAGGTACCTGTTTTTATTCAGAGAAAACGTGATAAAAATCTAGTGAAATCTATGTACAAACCTACTAGCAGTAATAAGTGCATTAGCTTCGTGGCAGAATATTACACAAATATGCAAAAATCAATTGTATGATTGTACAGTAGCGATCAGAAGTAAACAAAATAACTCCATTTAAGATAGCATCAAAACTATGAAAAACTTAGAAGTAAATCTGACAAAAGATGGGAAAGATATACAGTTAAAAACCACAAAACATTTCCAAGATTAAGAAAAGCTAAATGAATGATCACAGATACCCAGTTATTTGGACCCAAAATTTAATAGGATTAAGAAGCACGTGTGTGGGCTGGGGATGTGGCTCAAGCGGTAGCGCTCGCCTGGCATGCGTGTGGCCCGGGTTCGATCCTCAGCACCACATACAAACAAAGATGTTGTTTCCGCCGAAAATTAAATAAATAAATAAACCTTTAAAAAAAAAAAAACAAGAAGCACGTGTGAGTTTGATCCTCAGCACCACATAAAAAATAAATAAATAAAAACAAAGGCATTGTGTACAAGTAAAAGAAATAAATATTAAAAAAAAGAAGAAGAGGTGCATCCTCCTCAAATTGACCTACAGATTCAATAGTCCCAAACCAGGAGGTGCCTTTGTTGTTGTTGTTGTTTTTGGAAACTGAAATATTAATTCTAAAACACACATGGAAATGAAGAAAAAAGAAAAAAGAATTTAATATGTACACAAACTAAGTAGAGAAAAAAATTGTGTCGGAACACTTGGGACTTGGGTGTCTTTGTGTCTGTGTGTGTGTCTGTGTGCTACCAGGGATTGAACCCAGAGGTGCTTAACCACTGAGCCACATCCCCAGACCCCACCCCCCTTTTTAAATATTTTATTTAGAGTCAGGACCTCACTAAGTTGCCTTCTTCCTTCTGCCACAGCCTCCCAAGCCACTGGGATTATAGGCATGCGCYGCTGCACCCAGCTCCAGTTCTTTTTATTTTATTTTTAATTTTAAATTTAGTTTTTAATTATAGGTGGACACGATATCTTTATTTTTTATGTTTATGTGGTGCTGAGGATTGAACCCAGTGCCTTACGCATGCGAGTCAAGTGCTCTTCCTCTGAGCCACAATCCCAGCCCCAGTTCTTTTTCTTTTTAATTTTTATTTTCAGACAGGCCTAAGTTACTGAGGTTGGTCTCAAACCTGCCTCAGTGTCCCAAGTCGCTGGAATTACAAGTGAGCACCACTACACCCGGCAAACACTTGGATATCTATACTCACAAAAATTAATTTGGGAAAAAAATCATTTGGAGCCACAATACTGCCACATAAAAATTAACTCATAGAGGATCAGAGTTCAATGTAAACCTAAGGCTGGAGAACTTCTAGAAATGAGGAGAAAACCTTTCCAACCTCAAGTTAGGTGCAGATCTCATACATGCAAAACCAAAACCATTGATAAGTAGGATTTCATCAAAATGAAAAACTTCTGCTCTCAAAGAGACTCTTTCAGGATAATCAAAAGACAAGCTGCAGACTGGCCAGARATATTTACAAAGCATACATCTGACAAAGAACTTATACTCAGTATATATACAAAACTCTCAAAATTAAATAATAAGAAAACCACAACCCAATCAAAAGACAAAGGATGAAGGAACAGACACTTCAGCAAAGAAGATATGTGAATGTCACAAGTGTCAGGAAAAGATACTTAGCATCATCAGCTGTTAGGGAAATGTGAATTAAAGTCACTACACATCTATTAGAAAGACTAAGGTTCCCTCTGAATGGCCCCAAATTGGAAACAATCCAAACATTGTTCATCACTAGGTTAACAGAAACATAAATGTGGTTTACCTATAAAGGAATAATACTCAGCGATAAAAAGGAATAAATTATTGATACATGCAAACATATGGATAAACTTCAAATGACTACTATAAATCAAAGATGCCAATCCAAAAATAATTAAATGAAAATAATTTATAGAAAATTCTAGAAGTTGCAAAAAAATTTATCAGAGCCTGGATAACCTGCAGAACAGTGCTAAGCAATCAAAAACACACGTATGTGGTGTCCAAGAAGAAGAAGAGTGGACCAGAAAAATATGTGAAGAAATAATGGCAGAAAACATCCATGTAACAACAACAGAAAGCCCTTAACTGGGCAGCTCAGCAAGGCTGAAGCAGGACAAATGCAGCCCAAGACTGTGAGAAGTAAAGATCAAGAGACAACTTCTAAATCAGCTAGGAAAACATCACCTTCCCTGCAGGGAAACGATGATTTGAATGACAGCTAACTTCTCACCTGAAACAATGGAGGGCAGAGGTGACAGACAGAAGGGCATCTTCAAAGTGCTGAGAGAATAAAAGTGCTCACTTAGGATTCTATACCCAGGGAAAAGATATGAGGGACATAATGACACGGCCACACTGCATTTTCTAGATTAACAGAGAGGTTGGGCATTTGCCCAAAGCTACACAGCAAGAAAGGGCTAAGCTGGGTTTTCTGTTTGTTTGTTCTGGGCACCAAGGACTGAACCCACTGAGCCACATCCCCAGCCCTTTTCATCTTTTGGGACAGGGTCTTGCTAAGTTGCTTAGGGCCTTGCTTAGTTGCTGAGGCTGGCTTTGAACTTGAGATCCTCCTGCCTCAGCTTCCCAAGCCACTGAGATTACAGGCATGTGCCACTGTGCCTGGCTAAGCTGGGTTTGAATCTCAGGATCGCCTGATCTTCAATCTATGGCAGTCTGTGATTTTTATTTCATGGTCCAGTAGCCAGAATTATTTTTATTTATTTATTTATTTACTTACTTACTTACTTATTTATTTTGATACTGGGGATTGAACCCGGGAGTGCTCTACCATTGAGGCATGTCCCCAGCCCTTTTTATTTTTTATTTTGAGACAAGGTCTCACTAAGGTGCCTGGGCTGTTTTCAAACTCACAGTCCTCCTGCCTCAGTTTCCCAAGTTGCTAGGATTACAGATGTGCACGGGCAGGTGGTCCAATTCTCAACATCATTCCCATTTTCTAGACGGATGCCATGGTTTGGATCTCACAGGCCCATGTGTCAAAAGCTTGGCCCCAGTTTGTGGTGCTACTGGGAAGAGGTTGTGGAACCTTTAAGAGGCGGGGTCTAGTGGGAGGTCTTAGGTCACTGGGGGAACAGTGGGACCCAGCCCCTTCTTTTTTCTTTTCCCTGCTCATAAGGTGAGCAGCTTCCTCCACTCTGTGCTCCCTGCCATCATGTGCAGCCTCACCACAGGCCTGAAGGCCCACTGACCATGGGTGAAACCCCCAAAACCATGAATGAAAAGCACCCTTTTCTCCCTGCAAGTTGATTATCTCCGCAGTAACAGAAAGCTGACTAACCCTCCAACAACCTGAGCTCTGGAGCTTTCCGTGAAATTTTTATTTCTCCCTCAGGCTGCCAAATGCTCAATATGATGCCCACCTTCTAGGTTGGTAAACTGAGGCTGAGAGGGGGAAAGCAACTTGCTTGAGGCACTCAGGGACTCTGAAGGGCAAGTGAGATGTGTTCTTCCATTGAATCTTTTTTTAAAATATTTTTTTAGTTGTCGATGCTGAGAATATCTTTATAGGCGGTGTTGAGAATCGAACCCAGTGCCTCCCACATGCCAGGCAAGTGCTCTGCCACTGAGCCACTCTCCAGCCTCCGCTGACGCCTCACAGGCACCCTCTGGGGTACTGAAAGGGTGCTCCTGGATTTCAGTACCCAAACCAGGACGCCCCGAGAATGTCAGCAAGCACCGCTCATAATGATGCYAGGACGGGAGGCGAAACCAGGACAGACAGGGTGTCCCACTTTATGGAGGCTCAGGGGGAGAGGCGCCCGGCCTCCAGTCCCGYCAGGGAGCTGGGCGTCACCTGGCCCCGACTCCTCCCAGGAGATGAGCTTGCAGATCAGATCACCTAGCCAGGTAAACGGAGGCCCTCACCTGATCGAACTTGCGCTGCTTCTTCTCCAGGGTGCTCACGAGCTGCCGCTGTTGCTCCAGGTCCACGGTGACATCGTCCAGCTCCTGCTGCAGCCGCCGGCGGCCCCGCTCCAGCCTTTCCACAGCCTCTGTCTTTTCCGCCAGGCGCTGGGCCAGGGCCTCGGCCTCTCGGGCGGCCCGGCGCCGAGCCTCCTCCCCTGCCTCCAGTGCCCCGGCCTCTTCCTCCTGGCGCCGCCGCCAATCTGCAAGCTGGGGAGAGGAGAGGGAGGGAGGGTCGGCGGCTGTCGTGGCTGTGAGCGGCCAAGGACCTTGTGAGGCCCCATTTCCCAGATGAGGAGACTGAGGCGCAAGGAAGGAAAGGAGTCATTCCACTGGGCTCCTCTGCCTCAGGAGGGGGTTGAGGTTCTGAGTACCATGAGCCCCAGCTCTTTCAGGGTACCCAAGTGACCTCTGGCAGGACCCAGGGGGAATCAGATCTGGCTTTGGTCTTGGGGAGCCCCTAGTCTGAAGGGGGCGACTGAGTTAGAATGACGGGGGCTAAGGTAGAAGTTATAGGCTTCACAGGATCCCACAGGAGGATTTCAGGATCCGTTTTGAATATTTGGAAGAGACTTCCTGGTAGAGGGGCACTTGAGATGGGTGTTGAAGTATATGTAGGAGTTTGACAACTGAAGGATATTTGGCAGCGTAAGTCATCACTCAGTCACTTAACAGGCATTTCTCAAGGCTTGTTGGGCTGTGCTGGGGACCAGATCTAACTCTGGAGTTCCCCTTTGAAGTGGCTGAAAATCTGCTGAGTAGTCAAGAGAGTCCCAGCCTCAGGGGCCCAGCTGAGAGGCTTGGTCCAGGGGTACGGGAGCAGAGCAGGGCCGGCCAGTCTGTGCAGGAAGAGACCCTGGGCATGGGGAATGAGCTGGAAGGGCAGACTGGAGGCCAGGAGGGCCTGGAGGGGAGAGGATGACCAGGGCTGGGGCTGGGTGGACACGGAGCCAGCCAAGGGAGAGTGAGGGGGAGCAGGTGGGTGGTGGGCTGTCCCTTAGCTGGGGACCCCAGGCGGAGGGGGTGCTGGGGCCGCCCACCTGGGCCTGGGCGGTCTGCAGCTCCCGGCCTGCGCGCTCCCTGGCCGCGGCCTCCTCCTCCAGCTGCTCCCGCAGTCCGGCCACCTCGGCCTCCACGGCCCGCACCCGGGACCCCAGGGCCAGCTTCGCCCTGGTCTCCTCCTGCAGCAGCTCCTGTGGGTGGAGAGATGACGGAAGTCAGGCGTGGCCGGCACAAGGGCGGTGGGGAGGGTGCCGCGGGGCGGAAGGGCCGTCACCTGGGTGTCGTGCAGCTGGGCTTCTGTGCTGCTCAGCTCCTTGCCCAGGCGGATGGCTTTGGACTCGGCCTCGCTCAGGGCTCCCGACACGTTCTCCAGCTCAGCCTGCGGAGAAGGGGGCGGTGAAGCCTCCTGGCGACTTCCACCCACACGTCCGTGGGCGCCTCGGAACAGCAGCTCCAAGGGTTCAAGACCAAGTGCGGGGGCAGCAATTCCGCTCCCAGGAGGTGCCCGACGGGGCGAGAGGCTCCCGGCAGCCTAGACCCAAATGCCCTSGGACGATGATCGGGACAGCTGCGCAGGAGATCCGGGCCACTAGGACCACCCGGGCCACCAGGACCACCGGTGTCAGCCAGCAAGAAAGCAATGGAGTCCTAGGATGTGCCGTGGAACAGGCCGCCTGGCTCGAGGCTCAGCTTTGGAAGAGCCACAGAGACAGGGTCGTAGCTGCGTGTGCAGGACGCAGAGGACCACGGGTGGCAGCGAGGACCTTAGAGTTTCTTCTGGGCTAATGACAATGGTGTAGGAGTAGATGGTGGCGATGGCTGAGCAGCTCTGAGGGCTGGAGAGTGCCCTGGGCAGGGACTGGTTCCAGACCCCACTCACATCCCGTTTATGTAATGGGGCCAGTGTTTTTTTTCAGGGAACCAACTCACAACCTTTATTTTTAAAGCCAGGAGTGAACCCAGGGGTCTTAACCACYGAGCCACATCCCCAGCCCTTTTTATTTCAAGATAGGACCTCCTAAATCRCAGAGGCTGGCCTCGAACTTGCAATCCGCCTGCCTCTGTCTCCYGATTACAGGCGAGGGACACCACACCCCGCTACTGATCACACCACTTCAATCAGGAATTAAAACTGCACGGTACTGGTGGTCTCCCTGGAGGAGCTGGGGCTACAAGTCATCTTCGTTTTGCTTGTCTGTGTTCTCAGTAATGAACAGGTATAGACCGTTCAGKTTGAAACAGAATAAAATGAAGTTTTAAAAAATGGGCTTTGCTTCGAAGGGATGCAGAATGCTACTGCGCTCACGCTGCTCCGTGTCCCTCCTCTGGAGTTTTCTAATCAGATTATGAATTATTCAAAGGCAGAAAAGAGAAGAAGAGCTTGGGGCTATGGCAGGGTACACTCCAAAGGGTCAGGCACGCCTGGGACTGGACTTCAGTTCTGAGCGACTAAGGGCAGTCAACTGTACTCTCTGGGGCTCAGCTTCCTCGTAGGTGAAAGGTGAGCAGTGTTCTCTCTTGAAAGTGTTGGACAGTGTTGAAAGTGTTACTGCTCACCAATGCCCAGCCACCGATGTGTGAAGAACTGGGGGGGGGGGGCAACAGGGTTGATGGGGACCAAACACAAACCCAGAGAGAGCAGGCATCTCTCTGAGGTCACACAGCAGACACCACCACCACACGGCCACCCCACTCACCTGGGCTCGCTGCAGCTTCTCAGCAGCCTCCACTCGTGCCCGCTCCCCGTCGCCTGCCCGGCCCTGCACCTCCTGCAGCTGGGACTCCAAGCGGCGTCTCTTCTGCTCACCCTCCTGACGGGCAGTCTGCAGGCTGCTCAGCTCTGCCCGAAGCTCAGACACCTCTGCCTCCAGGGCCAGGCGGGTCTTCTCCCACGCACCTTTGCCCTGTTGGGGCAGGAGATGGGCAAGGTGTCTGAGCATCCCCCCCCCCACCGGGCCAGGACATGCCTGTCCCAGGGCCTTTGCACTGGCAGCTTCCTCTGCCTGGAACACAGCGCTCCAGAGGTGGCTGACTCGTGCCTCCCTGGGTTTTACTCAGATGCCACCTCCTCACAGAAGCCCTCCACAGCTGTTTAAAATCACAGACCTGCACCTTGGCTCGGGGACCTTCCCTGGTCACCTTCACCTTCCCAGGGCCCCTGCTCCCCCGAGACAGACCATGAAGGAGTGGAGCCTGCTGACTCTCCTCTCCTACAAACACAGAGCCCCCCAGGAGGGCCGCACSGCTGTTGTGACCCTCCTCCAACCCAGGTCACACCCTCCCGGCCAGCCCCAACCCACCCTCCGGGCCTGCTCCAGCTGCTCCGCCAGCTCCCCCAGAGCCTGGCCGTGGCGCTGCCTCAGCTCCTGCACYGCCACCTCGTGGACGCGAGTCTCCTCCTCCAGAGCCTTCTTCAGCTCCGTCACCTCCTGTTCCCTCTTGGACCTTTAGTTGGGGGAAGGATGACAGGGACAGACTCTCAGGATAGAGGGTGGCAGGTCCTTGGGGGAGCTGGCTGAGGCTCCTTTCTTGCTTCCTCTGAGGACACAGGAGGTCCGGGTGGTGATGCTGTGCCGGCATGAGGCTCTGAATGTGAACTCCTACTCATCATGCAAAGCCCTATTCAAAAGGCCCTCCTCAGGAAGTCTTTCTGGACCGTCTCCCAYAGACCTGGTTTTGGGGCCTTCATTYATTATTCCCYGYGYCGTGWCACTGCCTTAAAGCACCTGTTGCCCTGGACTGGGTCTGTCTCTGTGCCCAAGCTGGCCCAGAGCTGGTGCAGGCGAAGACCTGGCTCTCCGTCCTCCTCCCACACCCTGCCCAGCCAGGGCGGGCAGCGCCAACGCCTGCCCCTCACCGGAGCTCCAGCTGCGCGTTGGTGGAGTCCAGCGTGTCCTCCAGCTCACCACGGAGCGCCTCCAGCTCCTCGCCCAGGTCGCGGCGCTGCTTCTCGGCCTTGGCCCTGGCTGCKCGCTCGGCCTCCAGGTCCTCCTGGGCCTCGGCCAGGCCTGCCTGCGCCTCCCGCAGGGATTTGAGCAGCTGGGCTCGGGCTCCGCCCTCCTCCTCTGCCCTGGGGGTGACAAGGACCATGGGGGTGGCACAGGGGCAGGCAGAGGTGAGGGATGGTTTCTGGGGYCGAGAGGCCAGATTTCTGGGTTTGGGGAGTGGCCAGTCCCAGGTTCAGACCCCGGCTCTGCCATGGGCATGTGACTCAGTCCTTGGGCCTCAGTTTTCCCCGCTGTGAGGTGGGGATGTCTCCCATGGTAATCACAGGTGAGGCTGGCAGAGTCCCCACTCGTCCTTTGCTTTGTTGTCTCTTGGAATGCTCCCGCCAGAGGACGAAACTGGGGCTCGAGGGGGAGAGCACTGTCCAGGCCCGTGACCCACCAGAGGGTCCCTCGTGGCCCSGGGCAGCACCCCTGCAGAACTCTGCATCGGGGACAGTACTTGTTGGGGGTTCAACACTCAGTGCCACCCAGGCAGGGCTTGCCGTCCCTGTCCCTGCCTGCATGGCAYCTCGGAAGCACAGGTTCCTGTGCTGAAAGAGGCTCTGAGGACGGGGCTGCTGCAGGCTCAGCGACACAGAAGGGGAGAGGGATGTTGGGAGCTTGCTTCTACCTTTGGAACTGCCCCCAGGCCTAGACAGAGCAGCGCGGTGGAGTGGAGTCGGGTTGGGAAGAGGCAGAGGGTGGAGTGACGGCTGAGAGGGCCCCCATCTCCTTTCAGGGTGATGGAAACGTGTGGGACTGGGATGGAGAGGTGCTTGCGCCACACTGCAGAGTGCGCTTTGGAGTGGCGGATGCTGTGCGGATTCCACCACAAAACAAAACAAGCAAGAGTAATACAAGTAGGAGCCAAAACACCCCGTGTCCAGGGAGGTGTGGGGTGCGTGCTTTCCCGAACTAACCCTAGGGTAGCTTCTGCAATTGTCCCTGTTTTACAGAGAAAGAAACCAAGGCTAGACAGGTGAGGTCACGGGTCCAGAGAGCGGAGGAGCTGGAGAGCAGAGAGCAGAGGAGCCTCGAGGGAGCACGTTCTTACACCCCCCCCACACACACACACACAGTGTAGTAGTGATTCTAACACACAGTTTTCACATTTTAACCTCTCTGAAATGGAGTCACACCCAGAATTGAAGGTGTCTTCGCCTGCGTGAAGCCCAGTGCAGAAAAACACTGGGAACCCCAGGAGCGCGTGTGGCATACAGCAGGCTCCAAACTTTTTTTTTTTTTTTGAGATGGGGCCTCGCTCAGTTTCTGGGGCTGGCTTTGAACTCACAATCCTCCTGCCTCACTCAGCCTCCATAGCCACCAGGATTACAGGCGAGCCACACGGGGTAAATCACGCAGATTCTGAGCAGCTTGGCCCCTGGAGGCTGAGGGGGCGGAGCGTTGTGCGCCCAGCGCTGCAGGGTCCTTCCTCTTTTCCTTGTCCGGTGGCTTCGCACCGCTGCTACCTGCACTGGGCAGCAGGGACACTGCAGCTGGGAAGGGCCGGGGTCTGCCCACAGCCAGCCGGGAGAGCTCCCGGGGTCCGCACTGCGCCCCTGCTGCTGGCCCTGCCACGCCCACTCGCCCGCACCTGGCCAGCGCCGCCTGCAGCTCCTCCTCCTTGCGGCCCAGCTGGGCCCGCAGCTCCTCCGCGCGCTGCTGCTGCTCCACCATCTGCTCCTGCAACTCAGAGCTCTCCCCGTCCAGCCGCCGCTTCAGCTTCTCCAGCTCCTGGCGGCCCTTCTCCTCYTTCCGCAGGCGGTCTGCAAGCGGGAGGTGGGGTCATGCACGGGGCTCCAGACCCAGGTGGCCATGGATCAAGCCTCCCCGGACGCCACCTCCTCCTCCCAGGCTCCCGGGTCTCAGGGACCAATTTCTCCAGACCCTAGCCGACCCCGGGCTCTGAGTTCTCACTCCCGCCTCTGAGGAGCTTGGCCTCCTCCCTATGCTGTTTCCTTTCCGATTGAAAGCGAGCAGCGAGGGGCAGAGGGACAACATGGCGAGGTAGACAGGGACAGTCAGGTGGAGAGGGTGGGAGCAGCCAGCCCCCCAGGGAGGGAGCGAGAGTAGGATCTGAGATGCTTAGGAACGGGGCCCTGGGACGCCCTCCTGTCCTGGGCCTGCTTTCCCACACTTAACTGATGTGACCGCTGGGCGCACAGCGCAGGAGGTGTGCCTGAGGTCCCCTTAGAGCAAGCACGGCCCTCAGTCCCCCATTACGTGCAGTGCATGGCGCTCACCCTCCATGTCTGCAATTGTGGCCTCATATTTGAGTCGCAGCTTGTTGAGGCTCTTGACCTTCTCCTCCTCCTCGGCCGCCTGGGAGGAGAACTCGGCCAGGCGCTCTTCCAGCAGCCGCCGCTCCTGAGGGGTAGYGGAGGCCAGGGGTCAGGAGCAGGGCCAGCCACACAGGTCCTCACCAGTGGCTTCTCCCATGCTCACCTGCGTCTGGAGCGTCACCTTCCTGGTCGCCCTCCTCTCACCCCTGCCTCCTTTGCCCTATTCCCTGGCGCCTCTGGGCTCTTCCCCTCCCCCACGAGTTCATGGCTGTTAGCTGCAGGACAGTGACTGTTAGTTCCACTCAGGGACACTGAGGCTGCTCCAGCATCGCTAACATGAACACCATGGCCACCGGCACCCAGTCGGCTGCACCCGCGTGTGAGTTCGGGATTCTTGCACTACTCAAAGGATGGTTGTGGACCCGCATGCCTGGGTGGGCATGCAGAGCCTGGGGCCTCCAGACCAGCTGGACCAGGATCTGCATTCAATGAGCTCCTCCCCGACTCCTGTGCACATTGGARTTTGAGGACCTTGGACTGGGGAGTGCTCTCCAAACCCTGAGTGGTTTTGGAAACACATGCAATGGGCTAGCACTGTCCTTCAGGACAAGGGGGTGCTCAGGGTGGAGCTCTTGCCCGGCACTAGGATCCGGGTTCCATCCCCAGCACACGGAAAAGGTAGTAGAATCGAATAGAAAGGGTCAGAGCTGGCTCGGTGGTCCCCACACTGTCTTCCTGTCACACTGCTCTACACCTCCACCCTGGAGCTGTTGCTCTGCACAGTCCATGGGATGTAACTCCCAGCCCCATCCAGACTGGGTTTGGCCATGTGACTTGTTCTAGCCAAAGAGGTGGTGAATGCAGTGCAGGTGGGAGGTTAGAGGTGCTGTGAGGTCTGGTCTGACCTGGCCTCGTCCTTCTCCCATGAGAAGAGAGAGCCCAGGCTGCTGCTGGCCCCTGGCGCACCTCAGCCCGAGGCTGAGCCCAGCCGGCCCAATTTCCGCAGCATTTTTGTTTCTGTTGTTGCGATGGGATTGAATCCAGGGCGCTTAGCCACCGAGCCACATCCCCAGCCCTGTATAGTTTTATTTTGAGACAGGATCTCGATAAGTTGTTTAGGGCCTTGCTAAATTGCTGAGGCTGGCTTTGAACTTGCAGTCCTCCTGCTTCAGCCTCCCACATCACTGGGATTACAGGCCTGCGCCACCAGGACCGGCCGAGAGATGGTTTAAGGTGTAGGAGAAGTTTGGGTTTTGCTTGTGGGTGTCCAGAGCCTGTTCTAGCACCTGGACCCCAATTCTTCATCCCTGTCACCTGGCAGACACCCCTACTCCACCCCCAGCTCCCAAGGCCCCACCTTGCTCAGCTTGGCATTCTGATCCTCCAAGAGCAGCAGGTCCTCCTCAAACTTCTTCAGCTTCGCCTCTGTTGTCACCTTCTCCAGCTGCAGCTTCTGCCGGGCCCCCTCCTCCGCCTCCAGGTGGGTCTCTAGTTCCTGAAGGGAGAAGGGAGTGGGCAGGGCGCCCCGCAGACCTCTGGGGCTTGTGGTGCAGACAGGTCCACGCCCTGGGCAGCGCCAAATCCTCACTGCCCTTCCCACTTCCTTCACTGGTTCATAAGCGCATCTAAGGCCTGGGGAGCCCCAGGGGCTGCCCAAAGCCCTGGGAGGGATAATGGAAATCACATTCCCCTGAATGCACTGGGGGATGCAGATGGAGGCCGGTAAGCRTAACAAAGACACAAATCACGCAGACGGGTACTGACCACTCTGCTCCCTGGCCATCTCCCCTCCTGAGCAGGGGACCCGGCACTTGCAGCCTAACCCTGAGAGGACATGTCAGTTCCCTGCCATGAAATGATTCTAGGGAGCTGTATTTATGACTCACGAGCTGCTGTCAATCTGGTCTGTCTCTGCAATCCTTCAGGTACCCTGAGTTCAGTGTCCCCAAACTCTAGGGCACCGTCCCTCCCCCACCAAGGAGTTGAAGAGGAGGCCATTAAAATGCCACACAGCTCTTGAAATGTGGCCACTGTAGCTGGGGAACCAAATTTTCGACTTTGTTTATTTGAAACTTAARACCAGACACTATGAAAACTCTTAAGTGTGTCTGGAACAAGCTGGGTTTGTGAATCTACTTTTTTTTTAAACTGTAGAAGATTTGAAATGTAAGTATAGATCAAATGTTTCCAATGAAAACACAGCGTCCAAGTTGAGCCAGGCCTTGAGTGTGAAACACACTAAATCTTGACGGGGAGCCATGGAAGTGAAGCTGCCTGTGAACGCAGCAGCACGAGGCAGACAGAGCCAGGAGATGCAGAGAGGCGGAATGTTGAAGATATCACTTGAGTGCCTGGACCCAGCCATACCTGAAGCTTACATGTTTTAGGGTCTCCCCTAAAAAAGTCATTTTGAGCTGACTTTTTTTCTGTAAATTCATGGCAAAAGAAACATGATATATAGAAGCAAAGGCGGTTGGGGTAGACAAGAGGGGTCCAGGGAGGTGGCGGGCAGTCRAGGCCAGACCTGGATGTGCTGCTGCAGCCTCTTCTTCTCGGTCTGCAGTTGCCGGCTGCACTCCTCCTCCTCGCCCACGCGGGCCTCCAGCTCCGACACCACCAGCTCCAGCTCCTGCTTTCGGGCTGCCAGCCGCCCCCGAGTCTCCTCGGCCTCCGCACACAGTTCTGCCTCCGCTCGCAACTGCTGGGCCAGGCGGGTTCGCTCCTCCTCCAGCTGGGGAGCAGCGAGAGGTCAGCRGTCAGCAGGCCGGGCTCCCAAGGTGGCCCTTCGTGGAGCGCCATGACCTTCCTGTTACCTAACTGGCTTTGGGGGCAGGAGTGGGTGGGAGGCGCCTCCTCAGGCCCCCGCGCACCTCCCTCTTCACCTCCCACCGCCCATCAGTCCCCAGCTCTGTCCCTCCTGTCCTAGACTCTGCCCTGGCCCCTCCTCCCTGTCCCCACAGCCTCGCAGGCTCAGATCTCATCCTCTCTGTCCTGGATTTTTTCTCTCCAGCCCTTCCTCAGGACTCCTGGCCAGTCCCTCCCCTTTCAGTACGTACTCCAGCTAACCCAGCAGAGCTTTTCCACTTCGCCTTTCATTTAATACAACTAACTCGGACAGCGACCCAACCAACAGAATTGAGAAAAAGTCAACAGAGCCTGGTGCGGTGGCGCATGCCTGCAATCCCAGCGGAGGCTGAGGCAGGAGGATCTAGAGTTCAAAACTCAACCTCAGCAACTTAGCGAGGCCCTAAGCAACTCAGCGAGACCCTGTCTCTAGAGATAAAATACAAAAGAGGGCTGGGGATGTGGCTCGGTGGGTAAGTGCTCGGTGGCTTAATGCTTGGGACCAAAATAAAAAATAAAAATAAAATCAACAGAAAACTACCCCAGAAGCATTTTAGATAGGAAACATGCGGGAAACAGTTTAGAACTCCGCCACCTTACTGTCCTCCCATCCCACCTCTGCGGACCCTGCGACCCCAATCTGACCCCAGACTGCAGTTCCGCGCTCACGGTGCACAGCCGCAGTCCACCCTGCTGTGCCCCACAGTTCTCCTTGCAGCCCTGCCCCGCACTGGGGCTGGAGCAGAAGCTCCGCCCTTCACAACTGGCCGCCCAGTCCTCCTTTCCTGTGGCCCCGCCCCGTCGCTCTCTTGACCACGCCCCGGTGGCCCCGCCCCTCACCTGTGCGACTCGGCCCTGGAGCTCCCCTACTTCCCGGGCGCTCTGTTGCTGCAGCTCTTGCACTTTCTGCAGCTCCTGGGCCCGCGCCTGCAGCACCTCGTCCTGCCGTGTCACCTGCAGCAGTGGCTTCACCTAGAGAGAGGGGAGGGGTGATGGAATGGCGGCTCCCATGGTGGGAGGCCGCTTGGAGGCCCAGGGGCTAAGCATTCCTGGTGCTGTGGGAAGCCCCCAGCTGCTTCCTGGTCCATCTRACGGCCCCTACTTGACAAGGTGCTCTGATTATCCTCTTGTAGGCCGCACGGGGTGGCGCACCCCTGTAATCCCGGTAACTCGGGAGACTGAGGCAGGAGCCTTGCAACTTAGCAAGGCCCTAAGCATCTCAGTGAGACCCTGTCTCTACTAAAATACAAAAGGGGGCTGGGGATGTGGCTCAGTGGCTGAGTGCCCCTGGGTTCAATTCCTGGTACAAAAATAAAGAAAGAAATAAGTTACCCCTTCTAAAGGGTGTAAAACCTTGACAGGGACATAGYAAGCCCCACCAAGTGCATTAACACATTTGTTTTCCCCCTGAAGTCATCCTCTGTGGCCTGTGGCCCCTGCTCCTCTGTGCAGTGTCCTAAACCCAAAGTCCCAGGGTGGGAGATGCACTTTACTTTGCCTGTTGTAGGTGGGAAGGACAGGTGCAGGGTCTGCACCTGGTAACTGCAACCAGAGCCTCACCAAACTGCTCCAGCCTTGCTAAGTGGGATGCACTCTGGCAATTTTGGTTCTCTTGTTTTCTATTCAGTTTTACACAACTCTGCTTGATATCTTCCCACTGGACCTGATTAAAATCTCATTGAAAACCCTAAACAACAAGCTCAGGTGGGCTCCTTCTGCCCTGGATCCAGCTGACTGCAGCTTCCCTGTATCTTTTAACCATGTTGGCTTGAGTCAGATTTTCTTGTCACTTGCTACTTAAAAAAATCCTGGGTAGGGCTGGGGTTGTGGCTCAGTGGCACAGCACTTGCCTAGCATGTGTGAGGCACTGGGTTCAATCCTCAGCATCACATATAAATAAAAAACAAATAAAGGCATTCTGTTCATGCACAATTACCAAAAAAAAAAAAAAAAAAAAAACCTGGTTAACAAAGCTTGCACGGATTCTACAGATACAGAAATCTGAGGCTTGAATGGAGGAAGTCACTGTCCAGGTAGACACTGTCATCCGGCTGTTCAGCCCCCCACCCTCCAGCTGCCCTCACCTTGATGAAGAGCCGCCACCACTGCCAGTGCCTCAGCTTGAGGTAGGCTGCACAGTTCCTCTGCATCACCCTCAGGGCGCTCTGCTGCTGCTGGCGCCTCTGGAAGGCCCTGGGYGGGGATAGGCGATGGAGAGTCCCTTTAGCAAGGGGCTGGAGCTCCTTCCGCCTGCCCATTCCTAAATGCCCAGGGTGTGCGGCCTGTTCTGCTGTAGGTGGGTCTCGTTAGTCCTCCTGTCCTCAGCTCTCTCTGCCTGGCCCAGAGCCCCAGTCCCCGTTCAGGTGACATCCTCCTGACTTAGCCCCTCCCCCACCTCTTCCCCCCCCCACCCCCCACCCTCTCCCCTGTGTCCACCCCAGCAGGCCCTCAGAGGGATCTTCCTCCTTCCAGAGCTGGCCCTCCCTGATCCCAGCCCTCCCTGGCTCCCCAGCGCCCCCCAGCCTGGTGTTTGGGATTCCCTCTTCTGCTATGCTCTGCATTCTCTGAGCCACCTTTAAGGGGGCAGGAGGCACCCCCAAACTTCCTGCATCCTAACACATGCCAGGCCCCGCACCAAGGGCCTTTACCCCAGGCCTTCTCTGSTTCAAACCTGAGGGTCCTGCATCCCAGGAAATCAAGACCCATGCAAACCCAGGAGGGCTGGGCCACTCGGCTGTCTTCACTGTCTTCAACAGCACTTGGCCACGGGACCAAGAAGCCAGGGCACAACTCCCTGGAGTCCTTCCACCTTTGTGTCCACCCCCGCCACACACACACACACACACACACACACACACACACAGGGTCATCTGGTCAACCTCTCCCTGACCTGCCCTCAGCCAACAGGTTCCTGAGGAATGGCAAGACCCCCACCTGCGAGCCAGGTATCCCCGGGCAGCAGCCTGGAAGGACACGATGATGTCGGTGACCTTCAGGTCCCGTTCCTCTTCCAGCTGGGCCAGAACCCCTGCCCGGAAGAAGATCTTGCTCTGTCCCACACGGTAGAGGTTGGGGTCCAATTCTAGGGCCTGGATCTGTGAGGGATGGAGTGGTCAGTGGGGGGGAGAAGAGGGGGAGGATCAGGAGGTGGGGGAGRGGAGGTCCCAGTCCCCCTCCCGTGCCTGGGCCCCTATGTGGGCAAGTGGGTGGGCACACTCACCATCTTCTCACAGGCCTGCTTCCCATCCATAAAGCCCTTGGGAATGGCGTTGGGCGTCAGGATCTCATACCTGTGGTGGGCAGGGAGGGCAGAGGAACAGCGTTCTAGCMGCATAGACTAGATTTCCTAAACTGGCCAGGAAAGCAGTTTTGCAAAATACCCCATTGCTAATTTTTTTTTTTTCATATTGATCACATGTTAAAATACTTTGGATGCACCGGGTTAKGTAAGAGTGTTAAAGCCAGTCTTGCCTGGTGCTTTTACTTTTAAAAACGTGGCTACTAGAATGTTTCCAGGGCTCCATGCAGCGCTTCTGTGTTTAAGGGGTGRCACGCTCTCTGTGGCTTGGGGTAGCACACTTTTTGTTACCCTTGCTTATCAGACTCTGAGAGTGTCCTCTCCAGCCTGTTCTGCTTCCGTGTTAAAGCGCAGGCTGCGACACGCTGGGGTGAGTTCAGTCATGATTCAGGGTCCCTGGTCCCAACAGAGGCACGACATGCCCAGGTCCCTAAGCGTTCCGCGTGCTTTGTATGGAGGGCAACTGAGTGGATACTGTCCTCCCAATTCACGGAGGAGGACACCAGGGRCTCAGTGTGTCCCTGTCCCCAACGGCCCCACTTCAGAAGTAGCTTTGAGGGTACTGAAGCTGCGGGGGCTCCCACACCTGCGCGCCACTCAGCCCCGCCACGGGCCGGCCCGCTCACCGCTGCCGGAACTCCTGGAAGAGGATGCGGTTGGGGAAGCCCTGGCGGCAGATGCGGATGCCCTCCAGGACGCCATTGCAGCGCAGCTGGTCCAGCACCAGCCGCGGCTCCAGCTTCCCGGCCTGCGGAGAGGGAGCGGACACGCGGGGTCGGCGGCRGCCACAAGGGGGCGCCAGCGCCGGGCAGAACCAGCGGGCGGCGGATCGCAAACGGACCCCRTGTGGGTGCGGCCAAGGACCGGCCAGGCCTCCCTGCGCGGGCGCACTCACCCTCTTCTCGTGGTTGGGGACGATGCAGCGAACAAAGCTGGGGTTGGTGTTGCTGAGCGTGGCCATGAGGCGGCTCAGGGATTCCTTGTAGAGCTGTCCCACCGTCCGGAACATGCCGCGGCGCGGGCGGCCGCCTGGAGGGCCGTCCCCGAGGCTGCTCACCTGTTCCAGCCCCACGATGCCCTCCACTGTGGGCGGCGAAACAGAGAGGGGGAGTCCGGTCAGCTTGAAGGAGCTGCGCTTATGGGACCTATGGGCCCTGGAACTTTATCATTTCATATCATCATAAATGCCCAGAGCACACAGCCCGGGAGGTGGCTCTTGTCAGCCCCACTGGATAGGGCAGATTGAGGGACCAGAGACTCAGAAGGTCCCACGGCTCAGAACATTAAGTGTGCGCCCTCTCCAGCTCCCAGGGACCTCAGATCCCTCTTCTCAAGGATGAGATACTTCCTTCATCAGACACAAGYGGCGTCTGACGATGGGCCTGAGGATGCCCCTCACCTACGTAGAGACTCTACTCTCCCTGGTTGTGCTCAGAGCAGTTCACACACAACTGCGTGTAAGCCTAGGGTCATTCCCATTTTACAGAGGAGGAAACTGAGGCCCAGAGAGGGAAACAGGGAGAGCAACCCCAGTGCAACTGCAGGAGCACGGAACAGTGACACCTTGAAAATGTGATAAAGCCAGTTGTCACGTGTGACCTCTGAACAGGGCGCAGTGCTTCCCTCTAAGCTCCTTTTCTAGAAAGCCTCGATTTCACAGTAACCTGTGCCCTCTGTTGCCACTTGGCGGGGCCACTTCAGCTAGTAACATAAACCCCACACACCTTCCTTCTGTGTCATCTCACATTCTGTGCACGGAATCAGGCCGGGTTCTCAGAAACCTGCAGCCGGGCAGCATCTGATGTCCTGTGAAACTCAACCCACCTAAAGGCCATCAGTGGTCAACTGGATAATCCAGCCTTAGGGCAGGGCCTGGAGTGTGACTTGTTCCTCCCTGGGTTCAACTCTCCCCTACTCTCAAGCTTTCAGTCATTTTCAAAACGATAATTATCAAGTGCTTAGAGCACAGGGAAGAAGTCAGGTTCTGTGTTCAAATCCCAGCTCGGCCACTTAGYGGCTGTGTGACTTTGGGCAAGTTACTTAACCTTTTTCTGTGTTTCAGTTTCCTCATTTGCATAATGGGGGTRACAGTCCTAACATCCTCCTCACTGGGTTGTGAGGAGGATTCTGAGTGTCGATCATAATAGAGCTCCATATCATGAACAGCACATAGGAAGCATTCAAGAAACACAACTAAATGAACAAATTAAAAATTAAAAACAAAACCCCACAGCTTTACCATGCTTGCCTGTACTTTCCTTGAGGGTCAATTTGACACTGGAAACTGCAGAAGGGGCCGGCACGGGGGGAGGGGGAGGGAGAGACCTCCAGCAGAGAGGAGAGGGGCTGCATGATGCTCAAGCCAGGTCCCCAGCCCAACAGTCCACCCTCCCTGTCCAGCAGCCTCACCCGTCGATGCACAGGGACACCCACCCCCTGGCAGAGGAGTGTCCGAGCCGCGCCTCCCTGCAGATCCTGGGGGTGACGGGGGGAAGGAGCCAAGGAAGGAGAGGTGCTGGAGGCCCCCGTGTTCTGGGGAGTGAGGGCAGATGAGAGGGAGGGGAGATGGCAGAGAGATGGCAGAGAGATGCATGGAGGGAGAGAGATGGCATGAAGAAAGAGAGGAGAGGTCGTCAGTCAAGAGCACAGAGGGAGCAGGGGGAAACCTGAATGGTGGCCATGAGATTTTCAAGTCCTGTTCACCTTATATCTACCCACTTAGGGCACTGGTGTTGGCTGACAGGATGAATGTCCTATGGGCCTTGAGCACAAGGGGAAAACTCTCTTCCTAGAGGATGCGTCTGTCTGTTTTTAATAGGGATCCCTGTCAGGAGCTGCCCTGGATGCAGATGCCTTTGAGTCCCGATGCACTGGCTTCTGATCAATTATTGCCTGCAGTCTGGCAGGGCCATGGCAGGTCCCAGGAACTTGGGCATTACCCCAGCTCAGATGACAATGTGGCTCCAGGTGTAGGCGTCACCCATGGGGATGAGCTACCCTCACCTGTTCCTTTGTAATCCTACCTTTGCCCTTTTTGGGATAGAATGTTCCATGGAACCTGCCCTTGTGTGCCCCCTATATAAGAATAAAGAAATCTGGTGGCTATTTCTCTTTCCACAGACTCCTAACGTCGCAGAGCCATCTCCTTACCATTATTGAAAAGGTTCTTCTGTGTGTTTTTGTGCTTTGTCATTTTCTTAAATTACTGGCATAGTCAGATTTTGATCCCAGCATTAGGTCGCCAGCTAGGACAGATGGCAATACATCCCCTATTTCCCCAGGCTTCCAGGAAGCTCAAGAACTAACTTGATGCTCCCAGCACACTTGTTAGTTCGGCCGCTCAGAGGACAGCTTATCTCCTCTACCTTTCCCCTGGCTGCCAGGATGCAGTATGCCCAATTCATGATCAAGGCTGCTACAGTAGACATGAATAACCCAAAATGGCCCCAATTCCATCCCCTCCCTCACTTTGAATCCTTTGCCTGTGACGTCTAACGCTTTGAATCTGGACTGGCCTCATGAGTGCCTTTGTTTAGGAGAGCTTGGAGGAAGTGCGACTATACCAGCTCCCAACCTGGATTCAGGAAGCTTCACAGCCTCCACTTTCTCTCATGAGCCAGGCACACATTGGATGTGAAAAATGTGGGCTCACTGGGGGATTTGTATATCTATGAGGGGGCACCTGTTTTAAAGAATAGCAGGGAAGATTTTTCAGAGATGATTTTCATAGCAGAATCTGAATATCAAATGCTGCTTTTCACTCTCTGGTGTAAACACAAAAATCAAATTCCTCTTGATGACATCAGCTCACAAGATCAAGGCATTTTGTGCTCTTTTTTCTAGAAGCAACTCACCTATTTTGTTTTCTTGCCTAATTGCATGGGCTGGCACTTCTACAGCTACACTCTCCAGATCAGTAAAAGGTTATGGCAAATTCACAAATTCAAAATCAAAATGCTGGTTCTGCCAGTTTATAAAATCATTTCTCAAACCTGCCCTCAAGATGAGGGCAGCAGACAAAACATCTGGTGAAGGTCAGGATCCTGCTTGAAGGCACCTGACACTGCTGCTGATGCCCCCAAGCACATGGATGGCCAAACTCTTTCCTTGTTGGAGCAGGAAAACCCTGGCAAACCATATCTCAGCCTGTGGTTCCTCTCCTCCTCAGGGGCTGGAAGGGGACTTTGTAATCAAGTGAAGAAAGCAAAGACCCAAAGCCAATGAGCCTAAGAATCCTCTTCTAGGTTCTCTTGTAGTTGTTAATCCCTTTTTAGTAGAATCTCCTCATTTATTTTAGGGAACATTTGTCTACAAGTATTCCTACATATGTTTATACATAGATCTACAAATAAGTTTCCCTTTTCCATTAGAATATCCATATGCAACTTGCTCTCCATATCTGCAGGTTCTGTATTCATGGACTCAACAAATAGTGGATTGAAAATATTCAGAGAAAACCTCTTGCATCCATACTCAATATTTACCACTTGTTTTTTTTTTTGGGGGGGGGGCATCATTATTCTCTAAAGAATACAGAGTAATAATTATTTATATCATTTATAATATATCAGGTATCATAACTAACCTAGAGATGATTTTAAGTATATAGAAAGATGTGTGTAGGTTGTATGCAACTAATCCTCCATAGTATACAAAGGACTTTGACATTCACAGACTTTGGTACTTAAAAGGAATGCTGAAACCAAGTCCTAGTGAACTGAGGGATGACTGTACCTATTTCTTTTCTGGTCTGATTGCATAGGCTAGTATTGCTAAAAACAATGATTGACAGCAGGCCAATCAATAGTAGACATCAATGTGTTGCTTCTGATGAAGGGAGTGTTTTATCCTTGAATGGGATGCTGGTTGAAGATATCAAACAAATGATACTTCTATCCGCCACTAACTGGAAACACTACCTGTGAGCCCTAGGCTCTGGGTCTGAGCAGAGAGCTCATCAAAATGGCCACACTGTGAGCAGAGAGAGGGATGTGCAGGCACCCAGGGACAGGCCCTGGGAAGGTGGTCCTCACCGTCCTTCCAGATCTCTGCCGTGAGCCGGTCAGTGCTCTGGTGAAGCAAGGCTGCGACATTGTCGTTCAGTGGGTCCATGTTCTTCATCAGCCACTCGTTGGCCTTGTAGTCCACCTGATGGAGCCAGAGAGAGACCGTGTGTCTTGGGCTCACCAGCTCCCTGGGCAGCTGAGCCCCAGGCAGCTCCCAGGGACCAGAGCGTGGGCGCCACCTGGTGTCCGCAGTGGGAACAACATCCCCTACCCTATCCGCCTGTGCTCTGTGCCTGGAGAGCACAACCCACCTCCTGATGTCCTCTCTTGGCTGCCTGCGGCCCCTCCTCACTAAGACCACAGACCACATCCAGCCTGCAGCCTCTTTCTAGGAAAGTTTTACTGGATACAGTGTTCTTTTGAGTTAGCAGTGGCTTCTTTTATGCTACAACAAAACTGTGTCGCTGTGACAGAGGCCATCGACCCACAAAGCTGACACTGTTGCTGTCTGGCCCTTTACAGAAAACGTCAGYGGGCCATTCTGATGGAGGAGTATTCTCGTGGAGGCCTCCTGGTCTTCCTCTTCACGTAGCTGCCCCTGTTAAAGCTCCTGCCAGCCTCACATCCTCACAGCCTGTACTCTATCCCTCCCAATAAGGAAGTCCGTGAGGACAGAAACCMTACTTGACTTATGTCTCCAGCTATGCTCAGCACAGAGCAGGGCACACAAAAGGCCTTTGCACACGTTTGCTGAATGACTGAAAAATGCACACCCTCTGAACTCCTACCCATTTATCAAAACCCTGCAAATATCCCTCTTGGAGGAAGTTTTTTCCTGACTTCATTGGAGTCCTGGCTCCTTCCGGGGCTCTCCTGACCCCTGTTTGTCTGTGACTAGAAATCAAGGGCCCTGCATTCCCTCTGCGTCCTCCCCGTCCCTGCAGCTAAGTAGAGACCCCCGATCCCCACTCCTGCCCGCTTGTCCCCAGGCCATCCCCAGCCCCCTACCTTGCCTGCATAGTGCAGGACACTGAAGTCAGCCTGATCCCGCAGGTGCCTCGGGCGCTGGAACTTGGGGTGGCTTCCCTGCTCCTGGGCTACCTTCTCCACAAATGACTTGTCTGTGGCCTTGGGGAACCAGCACTCCTCATCCAGCAGGGCCAGGAGTCCGGGAGGGTTGGCCTGACCATGGACAAGAGGGGAGAGTAAGACGGATCCCCAAATATTGGCCACTTAGGTTGCTGCTGATTTTTAGGTCCTACAAGCAACACCTGGGCCTAGAACCAGATGTGAGGACAATAGTTAGATTCRTTCATGAACCCAGTGACAAGGCCCTGTGGCAGGGCATTCCGGGTCCCTACTGCCTCCTGGTGGCAGGGCTCTAAGAAGCACCAATGGGGGCGCCAAAGCCCCTGGAGCCCCGAGGCCAGGGCTGGTGGGTGCAGAGGGCACTGGCCGGCGCAGCTCACCGGGCGCTCGATGAGGTCGATGCAGGGCTGCAGGTCGAGGCCGAAGTCGAGGAAGGTCCAGGGGATGCCCTCGCGCTGGTACTCCTCCTGCTCCAGCACGAACATGGTGTGGTTGAAGAGCTGCTGCAGCTTCTCGTTGGTGTAGTTGATGCACAGCTGCTCGAAGGAGTTGAGCTGCGGGGAGCGGCACAGGGGTGAGCGGCACAGGGGTGGGCCTGAGAGGGACCGTCGCCCAGCCAGAGAGGGACAGGGGCGTGGCAGAGACCCCCGAGGGAAGCRGCAGCGGTGGAGTCTGGCAGCCCGGTCCCAGCCCAAGCGACAGACCTGGAAGATCTCAAAGCCTGCGATGTCCAGGATTCCCAGGAACGAGGCGCCCTGGCGGGGGCTGCGGTCCARAGCACGGTTGAGGCGCAGCACCAGCCAGCGGAAGAGGCGCTCGTAGGTGGCCTTGGCCAGGGCCTCCAGCGCAAAGTCGGCCTGCRATGGACGGGGACGCAGCACCATGAGGCCCCAGCCTGTCCCCGGCCATGGAGGAGACCGTGGTTGGGCCCTGAGTCCTGGCCCCTCGAGCTTCACCCCCAGCTTCTTGGTTACGAACGTCACCAAGAACAGCCCTCCATGAAGGAAGCCCCACTGCTGCCARCGATGGGGCCAAGCGCTCCCAGCAGGCCGGCTCACCAGTCCGGCCATGCCTCAAGTCAATTTCCATGTCGGGGTTAAGAGCTGGACTCCGGAGCCAGATAAACTGGGCTGGAATCCCTGCTCTAACACTTAAAGGCTGTGTGACTTCAGACATGAAAATAAACCTCTCTGTGYCTCAGTTCCTTCATATGAAAATTGGGTACTAACGGAAAAACCCCAGCTGACAGTGGAACCGGGTCCGAATCACTCCCAAACTCTGTCTTCCCCAGCTGGGGCCTCAGTGCCAGGCCCCGCCTACCTGTTCCTTGCTCTGGGCCTTTTGCACATAATCTCGGCCAACTTTGATGCGGGGTGTGAGCAGGGCACGGGAGAAGTCGGTCACTCCCAGTCCCAGGAGGCGGCAGAGCTTCTGTGCAGCTGAAGRGAAAGGAGGAAGGCAGACCATCAGTACCAAGAGGGGGCGGGTGGAGAGCCGGGGCTTCTCCGTGGGGTGTTTTCAGTCCTAAGTGTGATGTTCCGGTCCAGTTACGGTAGGAGTTAGAGAATTAATAACCAGACAAAATGACCCAGGACGTGAGCAAAGACCACGCTGCTCATCACACCCTTGTTCCTAACAGAGGCCAGCGAATAGCCTAGAGTTCAGTGACTGCGGGTAGAAGAAGGAGCAGGATGGGATCCTTTGACGTCGGCAGAAACACAACCTAATTCTAAATCAATCCTTTTCAAGCCAGGTGGGGTGGTGCATACTTGTGATCCCAGAGGCTCAGGAGGCTGAGGCAGGAGGATTGCAAGCTTGAAGCCAGCCTCAGCAACTTAGGTAAATCCTGTCTCAAAGTAAAAAATAAAAAGGGTTGGGGATGTGGCTCAGTGGCAGAGCAACCCTGGGTTCAATCCCCAGTACTGCCAAAAGAATTAGTAATGAAACATAAATCCTTTTGATTTTTCAATGTGTTTTACCAAGAAAATAATGGGGGGGGGCATTATATTGGGAAATAGTTTATGAACYTGAATAAAATGTGCAATACTTTGCAATTTTCATTTAATTCTCAAATGTCTTAAAAGAATCATGCAAAGTCCATCTTATTTTTACAGGTAAAAATTGCAGGGAGAAATGCATGGACAGCACAATGCGGGGCAGGAGAAGGGCGAGATTGTGCTGGAAGGGAGTTTCACGTTTCTGGGTTAAACCCATAATAAAGAAATGTCCTCAAGCCTCTGTCACTTCCATCATGGGGAACAGTTACTACAAATGCTCAGCCTCAGCATTAAAGATAAACGCCGGAAGGAAATAGCATCAAAATGTCATCGGTCATTACATCCAAGAGGTGAGGACAGGAGGATTTAAATTTCTCCTTTGGTGTGGGCATGTGACTGCAGTTTCTAATCCTTTCTTTCTTTCTTTCTTTCAAGATGCTGGGAATGGAACTCAGGGCCTGGAATGCTAAGCCCTAGCTCTACCCTGAGCCATGCCCCAGCCCAGCATTCGGATTCTGCTGGGTCTCTGTGCATTCCACATGTGGAGTTTCAGAGCTAAAGGACGGGGCTCAAAACAGCASGTGGTTAGCAGGCCGTGGGGCACTATGCAGCCGTCAACAGAGTGTTGTTCATGGGTTCCCAGCCTTGTGGGCCCTGTGGCATCTSCTAAAAAAGCCCACAGAGTGCTTCTCTGATTTATGTTTGCAAATGCAGAAATCAAAATTGCACAGATTTCAAAGGGGACCAATGACAGAGACGTACAGCTCCACCGGTGGACCCCAGATTAAGAAATCTCTGTATAGTTAACAACCTCAAAAGTTGCCCTCAATGCACTAAGAGGAAAAAGCAGGTTTCAAGAGAGTTTATGAGGTCTGGTCCCAATTTCATAAAGCAAAAATGTGCATGTGCATGGCACCTTTGCTGGGTTCCCGACTCAGCCCTGAGGGCCCCAGATAGGGTTGCCTGTCCCCCAGCCCACAGCCTGCTGGGGTCGCCCCGCTGCCTCAGATGCTCTGGGCTGTGCAGGTTTTGAAAATGAGCCCATAGGATTTTATAACCAGGGCACAAGGCTCTTCTGATCTCTAGGGGGAGCCATGTGAAATATGACCATATTTCTGTGACAATCTACATCCACACTAGTACAGATACACAGCAAAACCCAGAGAGCAGTCGTTTCTCAGAGATATGGTTACAGGCATTTTCTCTCTGTCTCAACAGGTTTTCTCCTTCCATCCTGTATTAGTATGTAATAATTCAGAAGCATAGATATTTTCATTTTGGTTAAAAAAAGGAATATTGACTATAATTCTGCTTTTGAAAAGGAAAAAAAAATAAGGCATATAAGCAGAGGGCACAGTTCTGGAGATTTGCCAAATGCTATGGGTGGCTCTCTCYGAGGGGCCGGTGGGCAGGGCGCCCTGCTGCTGGGCTCGTGGAAAGGCCCAGCGGAGCTCAAGCTTTTTCGAATGACGGGAAGAACGCGGGATGTGACTGGGGCAGGCCTCTGCCAGGGACAGGGAGTCAGAGTAGCCCTGGGCGGGAGGCTGGGGAGGCTGTGGAGGGGGCCCCACCCCATGGGCAGGTCTCGCGGGGGCAGTACCTGTGTTGTCGGGCATGGTGGCTTGGTCCGTGTTCCGATCCGACTTGAGAACCACGTTGCCGAACTGGAGCACGGCGGACACCGTGCGCAGCATAGCTGGGGGCGACAAAGCCAGATGTCACCGGCCACTTGAAAATTAAACTTGACAACCCTAAGGCGAAGCATGCCACCACCCCTCGACTAAAAACCTGTCTGGACCTGGACAGGCCTTTGAAAACGAGACCGGATCAACGCAGGCCGCTAATGTGCGCTGGGGTTGCTTCACCAGCACTCAGGGGGTTTGCTTGGCCCTTGGTCCGTCCCACAGTGGAAATGAACGAGGACGGTCCACAGGGCTACGCAAAGGTTTCTAAACCACTGACTGAAAATCCCAGGTAAGATCCACCTGTCAATGGAGAAATGGGAGAAAACAAAGTGCCCTGGATTCTCGGGACTGGCGCTAGTTCCCGTCTACGGTCACCGCGGGCCCTGAATCCGCGGATGAGAACATGGACCGRGGCTTCGGTGGAAACGCCAGGTCTGGCTCTTGCGAGCTCTGTTCACTACGTTCTCACCAACTGATCAATAAGTCACCTCGTGTTTCATGCGTTTCTCTCGAGACACCTTATTGATCTAGTACTCTGCAGACCTGTGCGCCCTGAGCTCCTGGCGCACACTCCCGTGAGGTTCACCAGACTCAGGGTGAGGCTCATCGCAGCCTTCAGGCTCTTAGAACGCTAGATGGCACTTCAACACTTGCTCAGGCGACATTTTTAGACAGTGAAATCACCAACAAAAAAGCAGAAACACGTGAAAACGTTCTACTAAATACACCACGACAGGGAAACGGTTTACAGAATGAGAGACCAAGCAAGACCGTGGGCCGCACCTCTCTGCAATTGACTGTTCTCTGGCACAAATTTTGCCCTGTTGTACACCGACAGCAAGTGCCCACAGAAACAGCAGGAGTACTGATTTGGGGCTTATAAATAAATCTACTGAACAGGTRGATTTGTAAATGCAGCCTAACAAGGAGGGTGGTACTGGTGGCCTGTGAGAAGAGGGTCCTGCAGTCTCCTGGGGGAGGGGTTGAAGGTGGCAGGAGTGTCCCAGGTGTCCAAACATTCATTATTATCCAGTCCCAAACATCCTGCATCACAAAGAACTGTTCCCACCCTAGATGACTTCTAAATGTCCCATGGGACATCTGAGTGCATGAAATAATGGTTTGTGATTTTCTGAGATTCTAATTCGCAACTGTTTTGCAGATGAACACAAAAGTATTCCGGGTTTTTAAAATAACAGATTTTCCWGGAGGGCGGCCCCTTTTGCAATCCCAGGGAAGCCTGTGCTTGGCTGCGGGCGTTATCAAGATGTGGCTGCCCTTCCAGAACCTCCCGAATCCTTCAGCAGCCGAGGCAGGGGGTCGCCTGGGCAGGCTGTCTGCACCTGGGGCTTTCATGGAAACGCCAGGATCAACGCTGCCAGGATCAACGCTGCGGGAAGCTGCCTCATCTGTTTACTCGGTGAAGTCATGCAGGTGGGCGCTGACTTCATCTGCACCGAGTCCAAGAGCAAGAGAAACAGCTCCTCGCTGTCAGCAGGCGGCAGGGGGGTGCACTTAGGGTGTGTTGGGGGTGTGAGGGGACACAGGGGGGGGCCTTTGAGGTGCTGTCAATACAGGATGCCCCCTTGTGAAGGTCCCGGGGGCTGCATGCTTGGGACCCACGTGTGCTTTTTCATGTCACACCCAGCACCAGGTTGACTTGGAAGAGGAGCGTGTGGGCTGAGGGGAGGGGGCTGGCATGCCTTCTGGGACACTCCTGCCAAAACCACAAACTGGCATCTAACCCCGTGGAAATGGACCCAGAGTGAGACCACACCACCAGTCTCCTCTTCAGAAGTGCCAGGGCCATGAGTGATAAGGAACAGGCCCAGACTAAAGGGCTCGACTCAGAGGTGTGATCTCRAAGGTGACGCGGAATCCTGGACCAGGCGTGAACGTGAATTCTAAAAAACAGAAGGTCTTGGTAAAGCCCGTGGGGCACCTGGTGAAGTCTGAAGGGTGTGTAACAAATGTTAGCTTCTGTGTCTCCAGGGAAACCCCAATTCCTTGTGGAAACGACCTTCCTTACTTCCCATCTACCCCCAAACCTGCCCTCTGTATTCAGTAAGCACTCTATAAGTGTTTTCACAAATGAACTTCCTCTGGCCTGTTGCGGGGAACAGTTCTTTCTGCAGCGCCCCTGCTTCTGGTGTCAGGGTCCGTGGCACCGGGTTCCCCGCCCCCCAGCCCCTCCAGCCCACCACCTTGATCCAGCTCTACCAGCCGGGCAGCCTGCTCCCAGCTCCGCCAACACACTCGCTCCTGCCCCTGGGCCTTTGCCCAGACAGCTGCCGCCAGGCAGACGCCATCCCTGTACCATCTGCATCTGGTTATTTCTGCCCAAGCACAGGACTTAGCCAAGCGTTGCCTCCTGGGGGGCCAGATGCCGACACCTCTCCACCCTTTGGCAGGTCCAATTTTAACTCATTTGGGTCCCTCGATGCTCCTGCTAGTCTGAACACCCCACGGGGCAGGGCTCCGTCTGTCTGGGCCCGTTAGTTTTCTCCTGCAGATTTCTGGCAAAGTCCACCTTGAGCCTAACGAATCAACAGATTAACGATACACAGCAGAGAGCTGGCCAAATGGGGCTCACTGTTGACCAGCGGAGTTTGCCATGTGGCTGTGGAAATCTGGGTGGCCTCCTGGGCCTCAGTTTCCCCCACTGGGCAGTGTCCTTTAGCTGCCCTCTCAGAGATGGGGGTTGAGTGGACAGGGACAGTGAGGGCCCCAGGAATGCTAACAGGGCCTCCTCCCATCCTGCCCCAGGCCCTGGTCTCTCCTGGGCTGAGGTATTTGGAGAACACAGGCCGGCAGGTGGAGTAGCCCTGCGGCAGGGACAGGCCAGCAGGCACCTGGATGCACAGGAGGAGGGACAGGATGAGGCAGCCCTGCTACCTCACCAGGGGCTCCCAGGGCCACTTCTGAGGGAACCCACCTGTGAGGGGAGACGAGGGGGAAGGCTGGGGCCAGGCAGGGGCAGGGCATAAGCTCTGGTCTCAGCCAGCCTGGGGACAGAGAGGACAGGCCTTGTGTCCTCCTGTGTGCAACAGGCATGTGCTCAGTGGCCAGCCCTGCGATCTGGGGTCTGTCGCCATTTCCACTTCACAGATGAGAAAACTGAGTCCTCCAGGGGACACCACTGGGCAGGGGCACAGGTGGCGAGGACGGCGCTGTCTCCAGCTCCATGCTGTTCCACCTGAAGACCAACAGCAGGGTCGGGGGAGGGTGGGTGGGAGTCTCAGGTATGTCCCCAGTGCCTGGAATCATGCCCAGCAAAAGAAGGTGCATGGGGATGTCTGGAACAATCGGAGTCCCCAAATCCAAAGGACTCAGGAGACTGTTATAGTCCTGCTCTCAGATGAGGAAAATGAGRCTCGGAAAAATGAGACACTGAGGGGCTGGGGCTGGGGCTCAGTGGTAGAGCGCCCGCCTCGCACGTGTGAGGCCCTGGGTTGGATCCTCAGCACCACATAAAAATAAATGCATTGTGTCCATCTACAACTAAGAAATATTAAAAAAATAGTTTCAAAAAATAAGAAACTGACAATATTTGCCCTTCAAAGTAAGGAGGGGAGCTGAGACTTGGAGTCCATGCCCTTGACCCCTATATGATGGGCAGCCCCTTCCCTCATCTGGGCCTTGATCCTCTAGGCTGTAAAATGGGGGTGCACCCCGGGGACTACCGTGAGCATCACCATCACACCTAGGAAGGGCCACAGGCAGGAGCAGCAGAGGGATGTGACACGGCCACTCCACCTCGGGCTCCCTGGGGTCAGAGTGCTGGGCTGGTCTGAGGCCTCCTCCCCCAGCAGGCCCAGCACAGGATGCGGCTCCTGGGGAGGTCCAGGCAGTGTGTGTGGAAGGAATCAATCACAAGTCAATCAATATGCAAATGGATGAGGGCATGAGCACAGATCGACAGGTCCACAGGAGACAGACACTGTGTCCTCTGGCCCATGTGGTGGCTCCTGAGCCTGGGACACCYCTATTGTAGCCCAGAGGCCCCTGGATAGAGACTCCCTCTCTCTAAATCTGTCTTCTCTGCAGACTGGGACCCTCTGAGTTGAGGCCTGCCTCGRACTCACATTCCTGCCCAGTACTGCCAAGGCCCATTCTGAGCCAGGGAAACCTGTTTCTCAATGTGCGTCCCACGGGACGCCAACCTTGAGGAAGGGTTCCACAGTCCTGACTGCTGAATATTCCAGCTTCCTGTCACTTCCCGGGGTTGCAGGGTACAGGTTCAAAAAGCTCCCAAGGGAAGCTGTTGAACCCTGCACATCCCAAAATTTAGGTGAGCCAGAAAACCTGTGTATGTCCCTAGAGCAAGGCCTGTCAACACCCCAGGARCTTCCCGTGGGAACCGCTGGCGGGGTGGTTATAACTATCAGTGCAACATCACTCAGAACACGGGACAAAGTTCCCTTAAGGAAGAGTCACAGCCACACTCCACCTTTCCCTGGATTCTCTGGTRAGGCAGCTGCAGGCCCAGCCCCGTRTGCACGTGGGCTATTTAACTTCTTTCTATGAGAACTTCCTAGAAGATTCTGTGACCCCCTCAGGCCCCCAAAGCCCAGGTTCTACAGGTCCACAGGTYGGCCATCCTTGCCCCCATCTCCTCTTTCTGGCTAGTTATGATTGTTTTTGCAGGAATGCATTAAAGCAAACCCCAGAGAGGGTATCACTTCACCCCTAGTGATAACTCTTCTCGGAACGCATCTCAAAAGATCAATAAGGACATGCCCTCCACCCAGACCCGTCCCCATCACCTGTCCCATCTCGCCTGACGAACATCAGCTAGGACCCGTCCTGACTCAGGTTTCCCTGGTGGCCTTGAAAATGTCCCGTGARGTCAGCTCAGGAATCTTGTTTTTGTCAAGTGCCTGGGCAAAGGGGACGCCCTGAGGACGGGGTGGTCAGCGCTCACTGAGGACTTCAGAGCTTCTGATCACACACAAGCCCCGGCAGGGGGACCATGGGGGCTGGTGACATTGAGCCTGGCTCACATGAGAYGCTACCATGCCTCCCTGTGTCCCCAGCACAATCTCTGGGCCTGGCACACTTGGTGCTGAGGACTGGCAAGGAAAGACAGGACCTGATGTGGGTGGAGGAGGCCCTGCCTCAACAGGCCCCAAATGCTTTCCGCCTGGACGGCCTATGGGTGACACTGAGGTATCCATCTGCTTCTCGGCAAACGGATCATGGCCTGACTTTGGATTCTTCCACAACTCTGTCCCCTCCTCTTGAATTAAGGTGAGCCCTGGAGCAGGCACCCACTGCCCTGACCCTCCGTCTCCTCTTCTGTCAGAAGCAGCATCTACCAAAAGGTGATGGGCTGCACTCCTCTCAAGGGAAGCACGAAATAAAACTRTAGCATGGCTCCATCCACCAGCTACACTGGCCAAAGCCAAATGGCTTCCCACYGTGGTTGCTGGCAGGGATGGGGGACAACAGGCGCTCCTGGGGTAACTGGAAACTAGCACCATCTTATGGATGGCAGCATGGTAGCTCCCTACAGTAAAAACAAGTTGGGAGGTGGGCAGGGCGGTGACAGGAAAGGCCACAACTGCTGGAGCGGTGACGGGGTCCTTCCACCCTGCTTGTACACCTGTCTGACACTTGCCACCGTAAAGAGATGAAGTCTGAACTAATCTGCAAAAAGGGGGACTGAAGCATGCCGCGTGCTACAGCGCGGACCCTTGAACACACCACGCTKCGTGAGGGAAGCCAGACAAGGACCCAAGTGGCACCATCTCCCTGACATGAGGGCTCCGAGTGGGCAGATCCACAGAGGCAGGAAGCAGGTCTGTGGTTGGTGGGACCAGGGCAGGAAGCTGGGGTGTTGGCCAAGGGGTGTGACAGGTCTTCTCAGCTGCTGAAAATGTTCCGGAATGATCACAGTGACAGCACACAAGGCCGTGACTGTACTAAAGCCACCAAGTTGTACCCTTTAGAGAAACAAATGGTATGATAAGTTGTATCTGAAATAAAGTTGTCAGAATTTYTTAAGCTGCCAGATGCAGTGGYGCAGACTTAGGATCCCAGCAACTTGGGAGGCCGAGGCAGGATCACAGACAGGTTCAAGGCCAGCCTCAGCCACTTAGCCAGAATAAAAAACAGACGAGGACTCGGTGGTAGAGCACCCCGGGTTCAATCCCCAATGCTTCCAAAAAGAAACATTAAGCTGGATACAAACAAAACCTTCCCTGCCCCCTTGGATTCCACACTTCACCTCTCAGAACTGGCCCTACAGACGTGCTCAGGGGACCACATGGACCTCCCCGGCAAGGCTGTGCTCCATCCGGTTTGTCTTTGTAACTCTAACAGTGACAGAAAGGAAATGCCGTGAAGTGTTAAGTTAGGGAAAGGTCTGAGGTCCACTTCTTGCAGAATCACGCCCCCACACACAGGTGGAGCCTCTGCCACCGGTACCACGACCAGACCACGACCAGACCAAG